GCACAATCACATGTACACACACACTTGTGCACGCTCTGGTGTGCATTTGCACGCATGCACACACTCATACACACACATTCTCTCACACTTACATGTATGTACACATTTGGCTGTGCCCAGATTATGCTCTGCGGGGCTCTATCAATACTGTACTGCACTGGTGTATTACTGTGTCTGTTTCTCTCACCAGGTTGTCAGCTCTTATGTGGAAGGTTTATTACATATTCATCTTTATACCAGGCACCTAGCATTGTGCCTGACAAGTACTAGGCTTGCAATAAATGATTATTGAAGCATTATTTCAACAAGCCTGCATTTTAAACTAGGGAAACTACTGCTCAGAGGGCTTAAGGGATTTGTCCAGGATATAAACTAATAAATGGGAGAAATGAAATGCTAATCTAGGTCTGTCTGATGCCTCAGACACTTCCAGCTACTCCACACTACCTTCAAGGGGAACAACACATAATCCTGTGAGCTGAAAAGTTATGTCTCCCGAGGGAATGTTCCCACTTTGTTTTGTTTTTACTTCTTTTTGAATCTCAGATATTTTTTAGCCTGAGGAGAAATGCAGACTTTTTCTCCAGAAAAATGTACATACACAACAAATTTTGTGTGGAACGTTAAAATATAATCAGTCAGAATAGGGTAACTGTTGTTGCAGTAACATACAGACCACAAAATCTCAATCTCAATAAAACACAACAAAAGTTTAATTCTCAGTCATATAAAGTTCTCTTGAGTCCACAGGGGCTCTTTTTTTAAGTTGTTTTTGTTTTTTTGTTTTTTTTGGTGGGGGGAGAGAAAGAGAGAGCAGAGGAGGGGCAGAGAGAAAATCCTGAGCAGGCTCCATGCTGTCAGCCCAGAGCCCAACATGGGACTCGATTTCATGAACCATGTGATCATGACCTGAGCCAAAAACAAGAGTCACGCACTTAACTGACTGAGCTACCAGGCACCTCACCAGGGGCTCTTCTCCATCCAGCAAGTCAGGGCTATAGGCTTTATCCACCAGAAGATACTACTATCTCAACACACACTATGAAATCACAAGGACAGGAGAAGTGTAGTAGGCACACTGACTTTTAACTGCTTTAGTGTGCAAGTGGCACATACCTGGGGTAAACTGCAAAATATCCATGAATTCCTTCCAACCTTGTATGCACAGCCCTTTGCAAAGTGATTCTGTTTTTCCTTCTATCAATAGGTATGATTTGTGTCTGTCTCTTGAGTGTGGATTTGGCCATTGCTTTGGCCAGTGGGACATTAAGAAACATAATTCAAGCAGGCATTTGTGCCCTGGAGCCTGTCCTTTCTTGCCATTCTTTGGAACCATGAAGTCACCATGAAGAAGACTGAGTTAATCCATTTGGAGAACTGTGGCCTACTGACCCCGTCACTTTAGTCAACAGCCAGCACCGATAGAGAGACAGAATGAATCCTCAAGTAGGTAAGGCCATCCTGTATCAGCTTGCCCCCTCCCAATCCACCGGCCTGCTGAGGCTGCATGAGGGAACCCAGCAAGACCAGCAGCATGATCCAGCTTAGGTCAGACCTGTTTGATAACCAAAAAGATTTTGATTTAGTAAATGACCCTTGTTTTAAGTGACTACATTTAGGAACTTTTGTTATGCAGCAAACGCTAACTAATACAAAAATAGGTACCAAGGGGAGAGTATTACCATTACAAAACCTAAAACATGTGGAATTGATTATGGAAACGGAGGATAGAAAATTAGTAATCAAAGACTGAACACACCAATGAACTGTTAGTGGATCCATAAGCCTACACTTATGAGTTTCTTCATATAATTTAAGGGCCTGGAAACACATGATCATTTTTAAAATCCCACTCTTAAAGGAGAGAGCTGTGACCAGAGAGTGGCGAGGTGTGATCCTTGTGCTATACCCAAGTCCATCCTGGAGCTTCCTAAAAGGAGAGTAATGCCTTGGAATTACAAACGGAAAAATTGGGGAGTCAGGAAAAACCAAAAAAAGATAACAACATAAAATTCATACCTGATCGTAGGTTTCCTCATGGACTCAGTTAAACTGGGACCCCATGTCAGAGGCATGGAAAATGACACTTAGTTATTAGCTTATTGTCAAGATCAAGCAAGATGACATATGGGAAAACCTGTTAAATTGCTAAGAGCTGTGCACGAAAGGTATGTTTTATCACTGCTGCCTGAGGCTGCCATCCTCCTGGCATGACCTCAGGTGAGCAGCACTGTAAGCCAGCAGGGGGCGTTCTGAAGTTACCCCAGGAGAGTCATTTGGGAAGGTAACAGTATGAAACATAAACAACGAGTTATGTTTAACCAAGTGGCACATATTCTGGGTAGAGAGAGCAGCATGCACAAACAGTCTGGCGAGAGGGCGCATGAGTCACTCAGGTAACTGGCCTCTAAAAAGTGTAGGGTCCTCCATGAGTCCATTGCGTCGAGGACGTGTCGAGGAGGTAGAAGGGGAGCCTTATCTTCTAAGAATGTGGCTTCTCTTAAATGCAGGCAGGCATGAGAGAGGACATGGATCTTTCTCGAAATGCAATTTTCTGCTTGTTTACAAATGATTAACTACCACAATCAATGGTGGCAAAGTTCAGGTCACTGCATCCTTTGAGACCACGGTGAGATAGTGCCTGGTGCTTGGGGTCATGATAACTGGGATGCACACAGGATGGTCTGACAGCAGAGTTTGTGTTCAGCGTTCCAGGCCCAATTAACGCGAAGGGATGCCCTTTGTGGCTTTCCATCCCTCCCCTCGCTGCCCTTCCTCGTCTGCACTCCCGTCCCCAGCCTGGCTCCTCTGGCACATGTGGGCAGGTGGGGAGCAGGCTGGCACCCAAGAGTACCCCGACCTGTGAGGGGAGCTACGTTAAGGGCTTAATGCTTTCTACATTCAAACCTCAAAATAACCTTGATGAATTATTATTCCCATTTTTCAGGTTAGAAAACAGAGAAATTGGGTAGCTCATTTGAGGAAATCATCTGCAGTCTTCCTCCCGGCCCATCGTCAAGTTGTCTGCTGCCCCCCCCCCCACCCCGAATCCCCTCATCCGCACCAGCAGTATTAACAGCAGCAGGACGGCCATCCGCCATGTTTATACAGTCCTTGATGTACTGCCCGGTGGCTTCATAAATGCAAGGTTAGTGCAGTTTGGGTTTTAATTTGTTGATTCTGAGGAGTCAGTGGTGGTTTTCAGGGAGGTATGTTTGGGAGCCTTGGCCACCTGCCCACCGCCTTCAAGTTTGTGCTCTGCTTCCTCCAACGCCACGCCAGTGCCCCTCACCACAGGACAGTGGGTGCCATCTACAGCTGAGAAGCGAGGCCGACACTGTGTCCATGCTGAAACTGAAAATGTGAAGACACCCATCTCCAACACCCAGTCAGGGTCCTCTGGGAATCATTTCTAGAGGTATTGAGGTGAACATTTGCTTGGATTATGCCATTGCAGGAGTGCCGTGTGTGACATTTTCCTTTAATCCCATTTAAGCGGGAAGCCACATAGAAATGACAGGATAAGCAGAATAATGAAAAGTCGAAGGTCTATCCCTCTTTTAGGCTCAAATAAAACAAGTTGATTCGCCATATGTGAAGCACCTGCCTTTGCTGTGTTCGACCTTAGAGGAAAGAGTGAGTCCCTCTGACCTGTAATGTGGGAGACGCAGTAGGTGGAAGGCACTAGTGTCAACTGAACATTTCAGGTTGCTGCCGCTTCTGGCTCTCTAGGGTCACTAGCAAATTTGGGAGACACATGTTAAATCTACCGGTACCAATTATCTACTACACTTCCCAGCAAGGTCAGGGATGCTCTCCATTTTCCCCCAAACCACAGTGACGTTCCATATAAGTCACATGATAACAACAACACATATTTGAATAATTATTCTCTCACAGTTACCATTTTTTTAAGTTTGTTTATTTCGAGAAAGAGAGCATACACACAGGAGAGGGGCAGAGAGAGAAGGAGAGAGAGAATCCCAAGCAGGCTCTGCACTGTCAGCGCAGAGGCTGATGTGGGTCTCAGTCCACAAACTGGGAGACCATGACCTGAGCCAAAATCAAGAGTGGGACACTTAACCAACTGAGCCACTCAGGCGCCCCATGGTTATCATTTTTATATTGCCTACTTATGAAACATTTTCACAGTTAGTATCCCAGCTCTGAGTGACAAGTAAACATAACCCTCCAAATTTTATGGATGAGGAAACAGAATCAGAGACAGTCAATAAAAAATGCCCGTTCACTTATAGAGAGGGCACATAGAACGTGCTAGGCACCATTCAAAGTGTTTTAAGTATTTCAACTGATTTGATCTTCACAAGAACCTTGTGAGTTGGGCACTATTATTCTTGTTTTGTAGATGAGGAAAGAGACCGACAGACGTCAATGATTTTGCCATGGGTCACACAACTAGCGAAACATGCCAAGAGAATTTTAACGCAGGTAGACAAGTCCTAGAGCCCGACAGCTTCTCGTTGACTTGCTCCAAGTCACACGGCTAGAAAGAGGCAAAATGCAAAGCTTGGCCTGACTCCACAGCCTGCCTTCCACTTTGTCATAATAGCTCACACTTCTGAGTATTTCACACGGACCTATTCTCATCATCTTACTTATGTTACTGTATTTATACCTCACCACCTTGCAAGTGAGAAAACTGAGACTAGAGGTAGAGCGACTCGCCAAAGGTGAAAAGCAGAGACAGGATTTGAACCCAGGGAGTCTGGACCTAGAGCCCACAGTCCCCACTGACAGCCTGTCCTCTTGGCTGCTTCCCCAGGTTGACTCTGTGTCACGTGCTGCCGAATTTTCCATCGTCCTTGTTGATGTCTGGAGTCATGGGGATATTTCTGTCCGTGCAAAGTCTAAGGAGTTTCCAGGCGCTGCTGGCTTTCTGTTTACTTTGCTGAACTGTTTGCTCTGTGGGGACAGAAGCTCGCTGTGCAGACTTTTCATGGACCTAGGAGCCTCAGCGGAAGCTCCACCACATCGAGACAATGAAGACATCCCGACCGTGGGCTCGGAAGGCATCAGTAGAACTCATTCTTCTCTCTGCGGCTCTGGGCTGCCTCAGTTTGCCTGGCTCCAGGTAAGTGGCGGTTACAAATGGTTCCCCAGTCAATAACATGACAAGGAGTATAAAGCCACATAATGCTGACCACCTCTTTGTCGTGTGTCCATTAAGTAAAAAACATCACCTTGAGCAATTTGCATGCCTTTGCTAAAATAATATCAACAAATGTCTTCAAATTATTATGGAACTAAGCTGCTGACTTCAACAAAGTTTCCCATGGGAAACTGAGATGTTTAAATGTGCTTTGTCACGCTGAGAATGGGGTACTTGTTCTGTGTCCTGAACAGAGCCTCTGTATGATTCTTTATGCAAAAGAAGGTTTGTTATGTATAGAAAAAAGAGCCAGTTCACATCAGTGACTTTGATGTATGAGTGGGACCCACTCTACCTGCTCATGAACCCAAATTCTGTGGGTTCTCAAGTTCTCTCTCTCGCTTGCGCGCTCTCTCTCTCTCTCTCTCTCTCTCTCACACACATACACACACACACACACACACACACACACACACACACACACACACACTGTATGTTCCCAGCAATTAAGTTCTAACTGATTTATTTCATTACTTTTGGTATTGTTAGTAGAGTATAAGACAGACTAAAGAAAGTATCTTAGTGAAAGCTCAAATTTGGGCTCCAGTGAAAGATGTACCAGTGAGTTGGCAACTGAGGGATCCTTCTGGTACTTGAGAAGCTCCTTCCATGAATGCTGAAGTGCTCAGGTATCCCTCCTTGTGAGCAGCCCTGTGGGAAGAAGGACTGTTCATGCCATTCCTTCTGTTGATTCCATAAATGCTATCTGAGCACAACCTCCCACTTAATGTGAGGAGCACCAGTGCCCATTGGACACATCCCTTGGTCTCACCTCTGCCCAGCACTTAGCTGCCATTGGGCACCACCTCTAAGACCAGAGTAGTGAGGTGCACTACCCATTGGGCACTCAACAAATAATAGCTATTAGGATTATCAAGAATCTCAGCTTGGCTCCACGAAAAACCAAGCTGCCAAGGCCTACCTTATATGCACGTACTATGTATAAACAGAGAAGGATTATAAAGACCCAAGGAAACATGTCTGGAATGGAGGTTTTAGGGGCTCATAGCAACTCAACCCATAGGAGTGACCCCTTTGCAAGCCCCCTTGTCAGGCTCTGAGGATACAGAGATGAGTAAGACACAGAAAGCTGTGTTCTCATGGAAAAAGCCAACATGTAAGCACACCCTCTAAGTACAGTTGCAAGAGATGATACAGGTGAGAAACAAGAGAGGGAGTGACCAGCTCTACTGGACATTCAACTAGTCTGGAAAGCCTTCTGGAATAGGATGGTATTTGAGCTGAATCTTCATATAAGAACAGATGTTTGCCAAATGGCCAAGGGGGTAGAGGGTGTTCAAGGCAAAGGAAGCATCATAAACAAAGGCATGGAAATGTGAGAAACCTGACTTGTTCCTGAAGCTTCAAATCTATTTCAGGAGGCCTTGAGCATAGGCCAAGGTCAGGCACTATCAAAGACAAGATCAAGTGGGAATAAGCAGGATCAGAGTGGGGTGGAATGGAAGAGCACTAGTGTGGGAGCTAAGAAGCTTGAACCTTACCCTCTAGGCAATGGGGAGCCATTGCAGGGTTCTAAGCCAAGGCGCAAAACGATCATATTTATATATTCGGAAGTTCACTCTAACATAGAAAGTGAAGGTAGTCGTGGTGCATAAGCAGAATGTCTCGTTTAATCCTCTAGCCATGTCTTGAGATGGATATTATCTCTTGTTCACACTATGTAGAAGAGCAAAATGATCCTCAGAGAGGAGAGCAGATTCGCTCATGTGTTGCCAGTCTCAACTCCCCACCAGGTTTGGTGTTCTGGCCTCCCCCCATGATTTCCACTGGGCAGTCCTGAACACAGCGGGTATTTGAATCCCATACTCGAAGTGGACGAACAGCCTTCAGTTCTGGAACAGGAGAAACTGAGACCTCCCTCCTGTTCGCTCCTGAGAAAGGTTTTTGTTTTTAGTTCTTATAATCATGTCAGATGAAATAATCACATTGTCATAATACCTATCCTTTATTCAGCACTGCTCTGTGCCAGCCATTTAGATACATTAGCTCTAATCCCTCACAGCTATTGGAGCTAATATAGTGTTACAGAGAGGGAAGCTAAGATTGAGAGATAAGGTGACTGTCCCAAAGCCACTCACTTAATCTGTAACAGGATATGGATTCAAATCCAATTGTTTTCTTCTGGTTGCAGAGTTCCTGTGTATCCCTGCACCACCCTGCCTCTCAAATGCATTATCCCCTCTCCAGCTGCATTGTGTAGGTGATGTGCTGGGCCCCCATGCCATTCCTCTATCTCTGGGCCACACGTTTGTTGCCTTGAGGTGTTGCTTTAAATTTCATGTCTACAACAGCAAATGACAGAGAGAGGAGAAATTGAAAATCTGCCACCCGGAAGCTGCCCCTTCTAGCAAAGAGGAAGGATGCTATTTGCAAAGGCGACGCAGCTGCCTAACAAATTGTGTGTGACAGAAAGTTGTCGTGTCAGGGCATTTCTACAGAAAGCCAAAATATATTGACACACCCCATCCCTACAAGCTGATGGCTTGCAATTTACTGCTGACCTAATCCTGCCTTACTCGATGGATCCATCAGTATTTTGATCAGAAACTCCTGTTAGGAAAAGAGTAGGAGACAGGGACCCAGTGAAATATGTCCTGATGTTGGCAATTGCATTCCATACACCTCCGTGAAAGGAGGTGTTCCTTACATAGAGGGATATGTTCCAAGGATTTGTGGAAGGGTATTTACTGTAGCATTAATTGCAATTGGAAAACGTTGGGAAAATATAAATGTCTTTCAAAAAGAAAAAGTATACATCGAATGCAGTTTATGTACTTTGATGGAACATCTAAGTAAAAGAAATGAACTAGATCTCTTTATGAGTCAACATGGAGAGGGCTCAGAAATAGCGCATTGATTGACAAACTCAAGTTGCACAATAATATGTATAGTATTGAGTAAAGCACACAAAAGGAGTATTATTGTTGTGCATATATAATATGTAAAAGTATTTAAAGGACCTGAGGAATACATGTAAATGCCTAACAATAGTTCCCTCTGAGAAGGAGGAGAGGAAAATATATCTGGGGCTGGTATCAAATGCAAATGTGTAATGTATAGGGTTATTTCCTATTTAAAAAAAAAAAAAAAACACTTGAAGGAAACATACCAAAATGTAAATAATTGCCAATCCTGGGCTATGATGACATGAGTTCTTATTATTGTACATTCTGTACTTTTCCAGGCATGTTTATAAACATACAGAGGATTTTGAATGACAGTCAATTCACTTGATCAAAAGATTCATCTGGTTTGTTTCCGTACAACTTCGTAGGCACGAAATGAATGTGCTGTATCCCTATACAGAGACCAAGATTTAAAGATGTAGTTTAATGCCAGCCTTTCTTTTAGATTTGCATTTTGTAGTACTAATAAACTACACACATCCTAACCAATGTAATTTACAAACATACTCTATATTCAACTGATTACTTCATTATATTGCCACCGTCATAATGAAAATGGGGTGCAAAAATGAGAGACTTGGTGGCTATAACTACTTTTTGCCAAGTTCCTTCTGTAAACGATCATCTCGCCTATTAACAGGCTTTCAAATCTCAGAGAAGAAAATCATTGTGACTCTTAATTGTGTGTGTGTACATTACCTATCCACTCAGTCTCAACTACCACCGAATTGGGTTGATAGTTGCTAAAAACACAATGTAACTGTTTCTTATTTGAAACAGGAAGAGGGTACCCTGCCGAGCTGTCAAATATATACTTAGGAGAAGCAGAATCTCAGACAATATTGTTTTGTCAAACCCCAGCAAATTAGTAGATAAGAGCACATTCTGAGCCCCCCTCCTGGGGAGCAGCATCCTGCCTCAAGTAACCATTTTAAAGTATCCACCTGTGGTTTCCAGGAGAGTCTTTGACCTTTCCTTAAAGATCCGACTTTACTAGGCAATTGATTTTTGCTCGTCTCTGGGGTGGTTGTGGAGATGGATTTCACTGTGGTTAATATTATCCTCTTCTTAGGACTTTTGCCAAGTGAGAATGTATTGTTAATGACCTTGTCTGGAGTGATGTACTATGTATTTGAGACTGTGGAAACTGTGTGATGTTCTCCCTAATGACTCAATCTTGGACAGAGATGAAAGAGGGCTTGCGTAGAGACAGAGGGCACTAGTGGAGTGGATGCTGTTCCTGGTACCCTTCCAGGCAGCATGGGGGAAATGGATAAAGAGGCTCTAGAGTCCAACAGACCTCAGCTCAGACCCCAAGACCACCGCATAGCAGCTATATGACTCCCAGTCATTTCCCTCACCTGTCCAAGGAGCTTTGTCCTCTCACGCTGCCATGAGGATTCCGGGAGATAGCACGGGTAAAACACCTCACCCGGAGCTTGACATGTCCTGGGTGCTCAGCAGATCTTGGTTTTCTTTCTCATCTCTTTTGCCTTGAAAAGGAACCCAGGTTGCAAGATTACGTTCTCTCCAGTGGAAGAAAGGTAAAATCGTAGTCCACCTGTCATGTTACATATAGGGTACACTGGAGGCCTAGACGGATTTAATGGCATGTTCACGTATCCACTCTATTACTGAATGTCCCACTGAATGCCAGGAACTCCACAAAGAGCATCACCTTACACTCTGGACACAGTCCAGGGCTCGTGTTGTTTGATAGCTCTGCAGATGCTGTCTACCTCTTCCCCCCACCCCGCCCCCCTCTCCCCCGCCCCCGGACCCTGCCTAACCGATATCCCCTCTCTGCACTCTGTGCTCTGGATTGGCAGGGCACCAGTCTCTCTTGGTCTGCTGGTGGTTTGCTATTCTTCAAGGACCTCTCTCTGGCCTGCTTCTCCTCTCAGCCCTATGCACGCTTAAATAGCCAATCTTCCATAGCTTCTCATGACCAGCTCTGCATCTCTAGTGAAAATCTCTCTTCTGTGTGCCACACCCACTTAGAAACTAGTTGCTGAATACTCTACTTAGGTGTTCCATGAGCCCCTGGAGCTCAGCATGCCCCAACCACATCCTCTCCAACAAGGTCTTTTGCTCCTGTGCTCCCCACTCATGTACACGCTCAAACTAGAAATAAGTATCAACCTGAACCCCATCCTGTCTAACCCCTTCCTCTCATTTTCTATCCATTCCACCTGAGCCACATCTTGTATACCTGTCCTTCCCATGTGCTCTCCCTTAGACATTGCCATGGTTCAAGTTCACACCACTCATTGATGCTACTGTGTGAGCCTCCTACCTGCTTGTCCCACTTCCAGGCTCTCCTTACCCCAACCCAGCCTCCACACGACAGCCCCAGTGACGTCCTAAAGCAAAGCTCTGGCCATGGAACCTGCATGCTTAAAAACCTTGCCTCCTGGATAAGTCTCGAAGAGCTAAGATATGAGACATGTTTCTCGTCTCCTTTTCTAAGATAAACTGTGAGCTCCAGAAGGTAGAACCTATGTTTTATATTTCCCCACATGCCCTATAGCACAGTACCCTGAATGTTTTTCTTCTCAGCAAATGCTTCACGGATCGTAACATGGGAGGGTGCCTTAAAGACCATCTAGTCCAAACCTCTCCTTTCCCTGGGCATAACCCAGAGGCCCCCAGTGAGGGGAGAATTGCTTCAAGTTTTACGTCTAGCTGTGGTTGTATTCCCTGCATCTCTGTAGCAGTTTAGCATTTATAAAGTGCGTTCATGTGTACTTTCTTAGTTAATCCTAGAAATAGCCTTGGGAGATAGGCCTGACTCTCCCATTACATGGATGAGAAAAGTGGAACTCACACAGGTCGAAATGGCAAGTCAGAACCCCCAGGTGCTGATGGACTGTCTTCTGCTCTTGAATTCAATACTCTTTCAACTATAGCTAGCCAAAATGAAAGGTACTTATAGGTGTTCGATAACTGTTTGCTGGATGAATTAACCTATACTTGAATGATAAACTAATAGCCTCAAGCACATGAGCAAATATATATTTATTGAACGGCTGGGTAGGTGGTTGTATGTATACTTAATTCTTTTTTTTGACACTTAATTCTGTTCTCTCATGATGACCCTTTAGAGGTGAAAGGCCACAGTCTCTTGGGTCAAATGCAGTCAATGAGAGCCTTGCCAAGAGCCGACAGACACGGAGCGTGGCTGCATCGGTGATGCCTATTGATTGTGAACTGTCCAGCTGGTCCTCTTGGACTACATGTGATCCCTGTCAGAAGAAAAGGGTAAGTACTCTGGCCTTGGGGGAGCTCTAAGTTTCCAGAAACCCTCACTCTCAGCAAGAGTGGTTAAGGCACTGCTGACAGTGCCTGGCACATAGTAGGGCCTCATTAAACATTGGCTCACTTAACAAATTCTGTTTCTCAATGCTTCCAAGTAGATCCTTTCTTCGACCTTCCACCTACTTTCCCAGCATATTTACCCTTGTTTGGGTTAGCAGCTTCCTAATCAGACCTCCTGCCTCCAGACCTGCTCTTTCAGTCCATCTTCATGGTACAACCAGGGCAGCTATTCAAAATGCAAGCTTGTCCTGGCTTTTCCCAGCTTGAAACCATTTAAGGTCTACACATGGCGCTTGAGATCAAACCCAGACTCATGGTCTTCAAGGTCCCCGTGACATAGACCTGGCCAACATCTTCGTAAAACATCCCCCACCCCAGCACAGAGATCACTTGTTTCTCTCTGACCATTTCACTTTCTCGCTCTGCCTTTATTCATGCTGCTTTCTTAGGCTGGAGTGACCTTTTCCCACTTGCACTGCTGGCTAACACCTACTCATTATTTGAAACTCTGCTTATAGGCTACCTCTTTGGAGCCCTTCCTTGACGTCTCAGCCCTGTGCACACTTAGATAGCCAACCTTCCAAGAGCTGTAGTAGCTCCCTATTCTTCCTGTCATTTACTTTTCCTTAATTATTTACCTTTCCATTAAGCGGTAAGCTGTTGAAGGTTTATTCAATTCTATATCTACAGTGTAGGTCAATTTCTGGAACATAAGAGCTCCATAAATACGCGTTGTTTGATCTCATGATATTTTCTGATACCTCTAGAAGGAAGGGAAGGCAGCAGTTACACTTTCCATTAGGCAAATAGGTAAACAGAGACTCAGAGCAGATGATTTGTCAGGTTCACCTAGCAGCAGATAACAGGCCTTGAACTTGGGCTGCTGGCTTCTTGTCTCGCGTTGTCCCACAGCAAACAAACAAACAAACAAACATGGTCCCTGCAGTATTTGTGCTTCAGGTTCCCCTGTTGTGAGAGTGCTGAGCCGGGATCCCAGCTCTGAGAACAGCAGGTGTGTGAGAGAAAAGAGAATGGTTGCCATTTCCCCAACTCCTCAGGATATCAAAGCAGCCATGGGCTAAGACCCTAACGAGGCTGTAAAAGTGGGCCCAGGACATTTACACAGTTAAGTGGATCTTTGTGGAGAGCCAAGCAGGATCATTCAGTTCCCAAAGTGAGCTTTATTGCTGAAACTATCAACATTGATCCAATTATGTGTATAATTGCTTCGTCTGCATTATAAACCGAAGAGACTCAGCATGAGGCGGCCAGAGCTCTTCACTCAGAGTTTGCGAAGCACTGGTCCTCAGTGGATATCATCACTTTCTACAGGGTCACTGGCTGGTGGTTTATCAAAACCTTTCAACCAGAATTTTGAGATGTCTCTCTCCCGTCATTTCTGCACCCCTCAATCCCATAATGTCTTTGGTGCCTAGGGCTGGTCTTCTAACAGTCTTCTTCGCAGACCTCATCCCTGTCCTGCCAGTCTCAACCTTCCAGAACAAAAGACCCCCTGGGGTCCCAAACAAAGAAGCATGGGTGAATGGTTTTCTGTTTTTTTGTTTTGGTTTGGTTTGGTTTGGTTTTGGCAGGGGGAGGTGGGGAGGGCTGTCCAGATGCCATAAAAGTAATAACTATGGTGGGTTAACATGATTCTGCAAAGGGGCTGGTATCCTGGTTTGTAGGATTTTGTTGCACCAAACTCTTGCCTACAGCTAGTATTCGGAAGCCACCCAGACCTGATCACTTTCCCCCCTGTAATTGTTTCTCATTGCCTCATAGTAAAATACTAAATCTAACCTAACTGAGGCCTGAGAGGCCCTCCCTTACTTGCTCCTGGCTTTGTCTCCCTCCAGCTCTGGCCACCCACACTCTTGTACTCTTCTCTCCAGGTTATGAATTTCTTTTTGTTTTCTGGAACAAGGCACATTCGTCCTAGTCTCTCGGATTTGGTATAGCAATTTTCTCCACACAGATTTCTCTTCTCTGCCCTCTTCCTGCTTCCCTGATATCTCTATCCACCTTTGAGATCTCAGCTCAATTGTGACTTCATTTTCTCCCAAGTTTGCATCAGTGATGCCCCTATCAATTTACAGAGCACTCTGTCCTTCCGCAACATGGCGGCCGTCACGCTGTGTTGTCCCTGCCTGTGGCTCACCGTCACTACCACCACCATCTGTAGCGACGTCCTTGAGGGCAGGCTAGAGGGCATGATTATGATTAAAAACAAACAAAAAAGCACTTATGGACTGAATAAGTCATGGAGATGGAAGTACAGCATGGGCAATATAGTCAATGGTATTGTCATAGTATAATATGGTGACAGATGGTAGCTCCACTTGTGGTGAGCACAGCATAATGTACAGAGTTGTAGAATCACCGTGTTGTACACCTTAAACTAATGTAACACTGTGTCAACTGCGCTTCAGATAAGAAAAAAACAAGCAAACATACATACTTACCGTGTTCAATATTGGGTGGCTCAGTTAATGTTTTGCATATTCAGTATTTCTGGAATAAACAAAACGTTAGAGATAGAGAAATATTGACTGGTAAAAATTAATAACAAAGAAAAATAACACTATATGTTACCCAATAGGAATTTAAAAATAATAATAATAAAGAAAACTAAGTACAAGAAATAGTGTGCCTACTATGTACCAGACAACATGAGGTTTCCTATTTAGACCATATATATAATTGAAACTCCATTACTGTACATTTAGGTAATTCAGTACCCCTATTTTATAGGTTACCAAAGTGAGATCACAGAGGTTAAGTAACTTGCCAGCATCACATAACGGGAAAGTATTAGAGTCAGGTGTGTCTCCAATGTGTTTGCTTTTTGATTTATAAGTAGTGAGTAAACGAGAATAATTGAATCAACCCATTGGAGTACTCAAGCTGAGAGACTATTGGCGTCATGTTACTGAACTGGCTACATCAGTCTACTTAATACCTTTTGACTCTGAAGCCCAAGCTTTTCCCACATTCAGCAAATCTTTATTGATCACTGCAGCTGCAGAGATCAAAGGCCAGGTCTCTGCCCTCAGAGAGCTCAGAGTCTAGGTTGGAATAGTCAAGCAAACAGCCAATTGCAATATACCCTTATGTGTACATCCCTCAGTTCCCGAGGTCCCTGAGGTTCCACTCTTGGTTCACCTTGCTCTTCTCTGCCATAGTACAGACATGCCTACTTGGTCCGGCCCTCTCAGTTCAATGGGGAACCGTGTGACTTCTCTGACAAGGAAGTTGAAGACTGTGCTACCAGCAGACCATGCAGAAGTCAAGTGCAATGTGAAGGCTTTGTGTGTGCACAGACAGGTATCAAGGGATGCAGGAGGGGGAGGGGAAATCTAGCAAATGAGGTGATGGGGCGGGGGGGACTGGCCATTGCCTACTGCTAAAGGTCAGGGTCACGGGTCAGGCCAGGAGCCCTCCTTGTCCTCTCTTTCCATGTATTATTTAACAAAAACAGCCCTATAAAACCCTATAAAATTTACAAATTTAGAAATTGAGACTTGGGGAAGTTACTTGCCCAAGGTCACATGGCAGGCAAGTAGAAGAGCTGCACTTCGAAATTTGGGAATGCAAATCACATTCACAGATATTAAGGCCAAGAAAAACAAGTATGTGTACTGGAGTCAGAAATCCCGAGCCAAGTCTTATTGTGACTTTGTGACCTGGGAGAAGTCACTTAACCTTTCTGCATGTTGGTTTTCTCAAGAGAAAATCAGAAGTGATGTTAATACCTTCCAGGCATACTAGAAGCATCAAGTGACATAGTGGGAATGAAAGCTCTTTGCAGATTCTGAGCCCTGCTGGCTTTTTCAGAGGCCTGGGGCTAAGGAGCATGTGGAAAGCCTACAGCAGTTACATAGGGTGTTTAGACCATTTACCTCTGAAAAATTTTTGCGGAAGTAGCTCTTGACGTTTGCATTTCTGCATAACCAACTATCACATAATCCCTAGTGCATGATAGAGTCAGTAAAAAGTTTTGATTAAGGGAACGAAGGGAGGAGCATACAAATCAATACTCATCTGCTGCAGAACTAAGTAAATACTTGTCAACTCTTTCATCTTGTTATTTCAAGCAAGCATATGCCTGTCTCTTTCTCTAAGTCTCCAGCAAACATAAGAGTATTTTGACCCAGATTATCTAGATGGGAATTGCAACCCCTCTACATTCACTGTACCCATGTGAACTGTGTGTGCTTCAGGATTTTTCAAGAAAGGGTTAGAGATTTTTTAGAGCGATCTCCAGGGCTTATTGCAAATGCAGAATTCTAACAAATCTGAAAGACATTTACAGTGTGTCCATGGACTCATTATAGCCAGTGTTCCATGATTCTGACCAAAGCCATAATGGTTATTCAGGCAGGCTTTAGTGTAAGTGCCTTGTAAGAAACATTTGAAGATGAACTTGAATTCTTCTGCTTTTGATATTGGTTAAAAATGATCCGACATCTCTAAGGAAACAGAGTCACCTGTCTTATAGGCTTACCCCCTAAGAAGACACAGATAAGAAAGGGAGTCAAGTCATAGGGGAAAGCATTCAAAGGAAGCAAAAGTGCCAACAGCCCTAGGAGGGGAGAGGAGATGGCTTCCCGGTTTTAGAGACGAGCAGATTGAGGCAGGTTAGGTAGCCCGTGGAAGGCCACACAGCTAGCGCTACTCACAGGACCCACCAAACCCACCTCTTCTCACCAGCCTCAGGGAAGAGGAGAGAAGCCTAGACTTGCTTCCAGTCTGGCCACTTCAACCTCAGCCATGTAAACACTTTCACTTTGCCCACTCTTAATAACCTCCCCTCACAGTGGGTTCAGAAATACAACACTGGCCTCTTTGGAGGGAATAAAGTGTTAATGCCATTACTGGCCCACCCCGATACATGAGGACTAATCAAAACAGAGCGTTAAAGGCCCAGCCAAATGTCTGGCATGTAGTAGGTGCTCATCCATGTTAATTTCTTGGTTAATTTCTTGCTCTTGGCAGCCACGTTGACTGCGGGGAACGCCCTTTCTCTTTCCAGGGAGGTGTGTAAACCGCAGACTTCTCTGCAACGGGGACAATGACTGTGGAGACCAGTCAGATGAAGCAAACTGTAGGCGGATTTATAAAAAATGTCAGCATGAAATGGACCAATACTGGGCAATTGGCCGTCTAGCCAGTGGGTGAGTTACTCTCCTTCTGTGGTGTAGATGGGAAAGCACAGAATTCAGTGAAGTTCTGGAGGAGAGGAAGGGAGCTGGTATCAACTGAGTGGCTCCTTTCTTCCTTTCTGAAAAAAGACGGCAGTGTAAGTGGATGCTTGTAGCTACTCTCTGAGCACAGCTCTGGAGAGCTCCAGGAGCATGTCCTGTGGATGGACACAGGCCACGCGGAGGGCTGGGTCAGGAACACTGGAGATGGGTGCAGGCTTCACGCCAGGGCTGGGGGAGCATGTTTATGTAGCACTTGCTGTGTGACTGTGCTAGGGGCCTTGTCAGCATTACTTCTGGATCCTGGTGACAACTTGTGAGGGAGGTTTTATCTGTTTCTGTATCTCTAGGCTCTGGCATAGGGCCTGGCCCAGAGGGTAGGCTCCTAAGTAGTTAGTGAAGTGGATTTCTGAGGGCACCTGGGTGGCTCAGTCAGTTAAGCGTCCGACTTCATCTCAGGTCATGACCTCAAGGTTCATGAGTACCAGCCCCACATCAGGCTCTCCACTGACAGCTCAGAGCCTGGAGCCTGCTTCAGATTCTGTGTCTCCCTCTCTCTCTGCCTCTGCCCCATTTGTGTTCTTTCTCATTTAAAAATAAGTAAATAAACATAGAAAAGAAAAGAAATCGACTTCTGAGATAGGTCTACAGCCAATCTGTGTTTTAATCTTCTGGGATGTCTCAGTTGGTCCAATCCTCTGGAGCGATCAGAGGAGCAAGGTCAGAAGGGACCACACTAGCCTGGTGTTTTCCCTGCTTTCCTGCCACATTCTGCACTTTCTTGCCCCCCAGGAGGAGTGAGAGCCTCCCCTTACACACACTAACAGTCATTGTACATGAGGCCATGTGGGGAGGAGAACAGTGACCTTGAGTGGGATTAACTTTCTTCCTAAACAAATATCAAATCTCGCTCCCCAAATGTCATTAGAGAGAGAGAGAGAGAGAGTCCTCATGTGAGGAAGACCTGCTCTAAGCACCACTTTATAAGCTAGTTGTTATAGTCCCACCTCCTTACTAAAGAAACTGAGGCCTGCAAAAGTTAAGAGAGTTTGTAGTGGTCACAGGCCTCAGAGGTGACTGAGTAGACATTCCAAGCCAGGAGTAGAGCCAGATGGGACCCTGTAGGAGGAGACAGAATGACACCTCGCTGGTCATGGGGCCTCGGGTGGGGCTTCAGTTTTGTCATCTCTAGAAGGCAGTTAATAATAGCCTTCTCTCAAGTTCTATGAAGATCAAATAAGCTACTGTGATTATTACACACAAGCAAGTGAGGGGCAGCTGGTGTGGTGGGAAGGACGCAGGCTGGCCGTGAAACTGGAGACAGGCCAGTCACCCTCTGTGCCTCATTTTCCTGCTCTGTAAAGTGGACATCATCACCATAATCACTGTCTCAGGGATTAATCCTTTCAAGGATCACATGAGCCGGTATGTGTAAGTTGATAAGAAAAGTCGCCTCCGCAAAGCGAGCATTGCATTGGTTAAAGAAAATAAACACATAGACATTATTATGATACATGGAACTCTGTCACAGGACAGAGAGCCTAGGACAGTTCTGTTAGGAACAGAACTGAGGCCAGTGCACAGAGGCTGAGAGAACACAGAACTCCCTTCAACAACAAAAAAAAGAGCTTTCAGTAGTCACCATAACTGGTCAGGAACGGAAGCCTGCCTTAGGAGCAGAGAGAAATAATGCTATGCACTGATTTTCATCCCTTCTAAATGTACGCAGTGATATCTACTGCCCAGGAATCGGGGGGGGTGGGGGTGCGGCATATAAGGTGATCCGTATATGGAGCCTGCACTGCTGTGTCTGTTTCTAGTTATCCCCTCCCTCAGCAAATGACCATTGTTTAGGGTCTTGTGATGGAGATGACACAGAAATTAAGAAGGAAACTACCACCCTCAAGGGCACACAGTCTGGTGTGGCAATAGACAAGTAATAACAAACATTTATCACAGACCGAGCAGTGTTTAACTGCTGAGCAAATATGGGCACGTGTAATCCTCACAGCAACCCCATGGCATAGGAATTTACCTCGTCCCCATTTTACAGATGCGGAGACCAAAGTACAGAGCGGTTAGCTGGCTTGCCTAAGGTCACATTACTTGTAAATGGCAGAGCGGGGATTTGACCCTGGGCATCTGGCTCCAGAGTCCATGTTCTTTATCTATTTCTCTAAACCATTTTCATAAGGTCACTGTGAAAACAGAACAATAGCTACTTGAGAGGCAGGCACCCGGGTTCAGGCAAGTGTTAGTGAAGGCTTCCCACAAAGAAGGTAAGAAATAAGGAGATAAAACAGTGAGTGGCTGGAATGGCATTCTGAGCACAGGAAACAGCACTTACAAAATAGAGAAGGAGCAGAGCAGGCTGGAGGAGGAACAAGCATCTCCCAGGGGCTGGGACTCGGGTATATGATTGTGGTGGGAAGGGCCACACGGGAAGCTGGAAAGCTGGTTTGGACCAGACACTGAGGATCTTGAATGCCGTACCAAGGAGTTTTGGTTTCACTTATTAGGGTCTGCCAGTTGAGATTACATAAACGGATCCCCCTAACCTCTTCCCCCGTTCCATGCCTTCCCTGCAGGATCAATCTGTTCACAAACAGCTTTGAGGGCCCAGTCCTTGATCACAGGTATTATGCCGGTGGATGCTCCCCCCATTACATACTGAACACGAGATTTAGGAAGCCGTACAATGTGGAAAGCTACACCCCACAGGTACGTGGCAGCCAGGAAGCCACTGCAGGGAAACAGAGGGAATGCACACTAAGGAGCCACGTAGCTTAGAGCCAAGGCCCAGCCCCGGGGCCTGCCAGCTACATCAGCTTGGATGCATCACTTCTTCTCTTTGAACTTCAGTTCTTTTATTTTTTTAATATTTTTATATGTTTTTTTAAACTTTTTAAATGTTTATTTATATGAAGGAGAGAGAGGCAGAGCAGGAGCAGGAGAGGGTCAGAAAGAGAGGGAGACACAAAGTCTGAAGCAGGCTCCAGGCTCTGAGCTGTCAGCACAGAGCCCAGTGCGGGGCTTGAACTCACAGACCGTGAGATCACGACCTGAGCCAAAGTTGGTTAACTGACTGAGCCACCCAGGTTCCCCAATGTTTATTTATTTTTAAGAGAGAGAGAGAGAGACAGAGTGTGAGCAGGAGAGGGGCAAAGAAAGAAAGGAAGACACAGAATCCGAAGCTGGCTCCAGACTCCGAGCTGTCAACACAGAGCCCGATACAGAGCTCAAACCCACAAGGGGTGAGATCATGACCTGAGCCAAAGTCAGATGCCTAACCAACTGAGCCACCCAGGCTCCCCATCACATTTATTTTTGTATTATTTTTAATCTAAATTTTAGTTAACACACAGTGCAATATTGTAGAATTCAGGGATTCATCACTTGCCTGTAACACCCAATGCTCATTGCATCAAGTGCCCTCCTTAATGCCCATCACCCATCTAACCCATCCTCCCACGCACTTCCCTCTGTCAACCCTCGGTTTGTTCTCTGTCATTAATTATGCAATTCCAAGGGTTAGGTTATGACTTCCTCCTCCTCCTTCTCCTCCTCCTACTTCTCTTCTCCCGACACATACATATTGGCTTAAAAGGGGGAAAAATGAGCCATGAACAAACACAGCCTCCCCCACCGTGCCCACTGACAACCCCATGGCCTCTACCTTCAAGGGAGGATCTCAGAGAAGCCATTCATCATCCCAGTTAAAACAGCCCCTGACCAGCAGGAAACACATGGTTCAGTCTCTTTTCTGCAAAGCCAGTGCTTTCTGAGTGCTGTGTCGGGCACTGTGTGGTGTTTTATCCACATAGACTCAATCCTCAGAACATGGCCACTGGGAGGGACAACCATCGTCTCTATTTGACACGTGAAGAAACTGAGGCAGGGGCACCTGGGTGGCTTAGTCGGTTCAGCGTCGACTCCTGATCTCAGCTCACGTCATGATCTCACAGTTCATGGGTTTGAGCCCTGCATTGGGCTCTGTGCTGATGGTGCAGAGCCTGCTTGGGATTCTGTTTGTCTCTCTCATTCCCTGACCCTCCCATGCTCTCTTTCTCTCTTTTTCTCTCTTTCAAAAAAGAAAAAACCCAAAAAAACCAAAAAACTTAAAGAAAGGAAGGGAGGGAGGGAGAGAGAGAGAGAGAGAGAGAAGAAAAGAGAAAAGAAAAGAAAAGAAAAGTAAAGAAAAGAAAAGAAGAGAAAAGAAAAGAAAAGAAAAGAAAAGAAAAGAAAAGAAAAGAAAAAGAAACTGAATATACAGAGGTTCAATCTGTTGCCCATGGTTGCTCAACTGGAAAATGGCAAGGGCCGTGTTCCACCTCAGGCAACCTTGCCCTAGGCCACAGCCAGACTCACCCCTTCTCCCTTCCCCAGCAGCTAAGTGTTATGGGAACTGCAGGCAACCAGAAGCCAGTGGGGATGGGGGATGCGGACACCAATGGGGACTGGTCCCTCCAAGGCCATTGAGGCAGTACCTTGGGCAGTTCCCCACTGCACAGAACAGTGAGCACTGATTTTTGAGCACATAGCTCTTCTACGTTCTCCAGAAGGCACTTTCCTGCCCCTGTCACTTCCTTCCCACTGCACGCCTTTGACCAGACCTCATCAGCTGTCAGCTGCTCTCCCCTGATAGCCTCCTCACCCACCTGTCTGACTCCAGATTCAGCCCTTTGAGTCCAACCGCTGTGCTGTCCCAACATGATCTTCTGGAGGCTCAGCTACATCCGTGTTGGCTCATCTTGGATTAAATCCAAATTCCAGACCAAGTAATGCTGAAACCTCAATGTTCTGATGCCAGCACGTTCCCTCACAGCCCCTGTCCCTTCCCCTCACTGTTGTGTCTTTGTGGTCAACTACTCTAGAATCCCTTTACTTTGTAGAGTATGTCCTGTTCTTCTCCACCTGTCTGCCTTTGCCTAAGCAGAGTCCCCAGTCCAGAATGCTCTCCTGCCTTTCTGCCATTGGAACCCAAGCCATGCACTCACCTCTCAGTATCGCCATAGTCTGACTCTGCTACTGGATTAGGAGCCCTGGGGCTGGGCACACAGTTGGCTCTGAGGTTTCTGTATCCAGAGCCTCTAGTTGAGCACCCAGCACATAGTAAGAGTACAGTGGGTACCTGTTGTAAGAGTAAAGCGGGTACCTGTTGTAAGAATTCACCAGGTACCTGTTGTAAGAGTTCATTGGGTGCCTGTTGTAAGAATACAGTGGGTACCTGTTGTAAGAGTTCAGTGGGTACTTGTTGACTTGTACTGAACTGAGGTGAATCAAAGCATGTAAGAAGCCTTTCCTTTCTTCCTCCTTTAGACCCAAAGCAAATACAAATTTGAGCTGACAGAATATGAGTCGTACTCCGATTTCGAACGTAACATCACGAAGATGGAACAAAGCATGCGTAGTTTCAGCTTTGGTTTTAAAATACCTGGAATAGTTGAAGTTGGCATTAACAGTGCAAGTTCGAATGGCAAAAATTTTATTAGCAGAATCAAACGATTCTCTCATACCGTAAGTACCCTTTGCTGCTCTTCAGTTTCCTTGTATCCATTTGGATTTTCACGCCCAGATGTGTCTGTGTTCCCCACTACCGCTAGGCCTGGCAGCCAGCTATATTCCCATTGGCCTGAAAATCTGTTCCCCAAAACACAGTGTGGTCTTCCATGAAGTGACTTTTGAGAAAGGCCAGGCAGTAGCTTATCATTATTTTCTTATTTTATATTCATTCTCTCTCATTTTCCAATGAGCTCTATCTTGTGGTTTCCATTATGCTTGAGCAGGTAGCTTTTCCAGACCGTATCATCTCTGGAGACCTTTCAGCCTCTAGCAATGTACCTTCCATCCTAAACATTCAGTTCTCCCTTGAAGTTCCCCCTCCAGGATGTCACCCAAGACTCTTCTTCTCTCACAGTTTGGGGCCTCTGCTGGAGTCGACCACACCATCACCTGCCTGTTCCTCCCACTTGCTTTCTGCTCCTTATGGCTTTCCTTTCTGTGTTCTAATCTTCCCACCTATTCTTTATTTAATTCGTGGCCATCTTGTCTTCTTACCGTTCAGCCACCCCAGCTGACCTCTGTTCATCTTCCCTCCCCTCCCCCCACCAGGGCAAGCCACACGCCTTCATTATTGCTTCTGACCTTTCTGTTACACTCTGACCTGCACCACACACTCTTCTGGGCATCATTACCTGGATGCCTCGCTGATGCTCCAAGCAAGCTCTTCCTCCTACATTTTCTGTGCTAAATAACATTTGTTTCCTTCTACTTTTCCAGCCTAAGCATTCCAGAATCATATTTCGCTCTCTTTTCATTTCCATGCTTTTTGGCCACCAAATCCTTCAGTGTCACTCTCCAATATTTCTTAATCTAACTCTGATTACATCTTAACTAGCCCAGACCCTTGCACCTCTTGCCTGGCCCCCCTTAGGGGGTCTCCTGTCTCCCAACTTGCCCCTGAGATTTATGTGCTGTCAGAAAGACATTTCCATGATACTAATCTAATCATGTCGCCTACTCCCCCTGGCCCGTAAGATGAAGGTCAAAGCCCGTGAGTTGGTGGAAGAGGAGTAATTGGACTGGGAAGTCATGGGATATGATGTTGGAGAATCAGGTGACAAGCAGCCTTGAGGAACTTCAAATTCCCAAGCAAGGAAGGTGCATTTCATTCTCGAGTCACTGAGTGTTTTCAACATGGGTGAAATGTGTTAGAAAATTAATCCAAGTGGAATATGGAGATCAAGTCATCTATAATGATTCATATGAGGAGAAAGTGGTGAGGGGCTCAGAAAGGTCTCTGCTGCTGAAATACCAACCAGGAGAAAATGAGTAGTAAATGTTAATGGGATTGTTATTGTCTTTGTTTGTTTTTCCTTCTAGGCTCGGAGCAACTTGGGGGCAGAGGCTGTCTCTTCCATCTTTAGACTTAGGATGGCACTTAGTAGGTGGTTAAGACTGAAATACAGTGACGAAGGGTGGGATTAATGAAAAGGATCATACTTTGTTGGGGAGGAAATAAAGAACACCGTCTATTTACTCCTTCCCTTTCTCCTGCTAAGCCCCTCACTCCCTGCCTCCCTGAGTCATAGTGTGCTTACAGTATCTTGGGCACCATATAGGTCCAGAGACAAATACAACCTCATTCTTGCCTTCAAGCTTGCCTTCAAGTTGCCTTCAAGCTCTAGGAGGAGAGGGAAACATGTATGAGACAACTGATTCTTAATTTTTTATATCAGTTGTAATACTGCCTGGTTTGTGCTATAAAGGAAATATAAGCAAAGTACAATGCAGTCCTGGAAAATAGTGTGTGTGTCTAGGAAATTCAGGGATGGTGTCACATAAGCAGCAATATAAGTAGATGTGTGTCGGGCAGAAAAGGGAGGGAAGAGCACTTAAGGCACAAGAAACAACAAGTGCAAAATTGTATCATGAAAAGAATAGATTTGGCAAACTGTGAGAAGTTGGATTAGTGCTGAAGTATGGTGTGCGGGGCAGAAAGTGGTAAGGTATGAGGAGGCACACTTCACTACCAGGGGACGGAGTGTGAGTTCTTATAATCACAGCAAGGGAATAGATTCTATTCTGGAGACAAATAGAGAGCCAATGCAGGGTTTTGTTTTAAGCCCAGAGGGGCATTAAGATAGAGGCATACCTCAGAGATATTGCAGGTTCAGTTCCAAAGCACTAGAATAAACTGAATTCACAATAAAGTGGGTTATATGAATCTTTTGGTTTCCCTTGTGCATATACAAGTTATGTTTACACTATACTTGAGTCTATTAAGTATACAGTAGCACTGTGTCTAAAATAACAGTGTACATACCGTAATTAAAAATACTTTATTACTGAAAATGCTCACCATCATGTGAGATCTCAGCAAGTTATAATCATGGATCACCATAACAAATATAATAATAATAAAAAAGTTGACATATTGCACGAATTACCAGAATGGGGCACAGAGACACAAAGTGAGCAAATGCTGTTGGAAAATGGTGCCAATCGACTCGCTGTACGTAGGGTTGCCACAGACCTTCAACTTATAAAAAAAAAACACGGTGTCCATGAAGCGCAATAAAACAAGGCATACCTATAGTCCAATCAGAGTTTTTAAGATGTCAGCTCTGATTGGAACATTGAAGGCAGGCTAGAGAAAGAAGGGAGGTCAATGGGAAGGCTTTATCAAAACCCAAGCAGGAGAGAAAACTACAGTAATTTAGCAAAATCATGGACAGAGCACTGCTTAGCTTAGAAGGGTGGGGAAGACGGAGAGTCATGCATCTCTGGAGCAGGACTAGAATGAGGTGAGAGCAAGGCAGGGAGCAGTCAGGGGCCCAGGCGTTTGGCACAACGGGAGCTTGCGTGGCATTCTAGAGCTCACAGGTCCGGCTGGCTGTGAGTTTTAAGATTGCGGACAGAATGTGCCTCATGAACATTTCCCATCCTTTTACCTTTTCCTCCACCTACACCCCAGTATAGGAAGCTCTCACCTCACATTATACTAATACCTCCAAGACGCTTGCACATCACCTCACGTCCCCATCTCTCAGCCTGTACCCCACACCAAGGGTCACCAAACTTCTTCTATAAAGGGCCAGAGAGTAAATATTTTAGGCCTTGTCGGACCACAAGGTCTCTGTCACAGCTACTCAGCTCTGCCGTTGTAAGGTGACAACAGCTGTGGGCAGTGCCTGAACGAGACGGCGTGGTGGCTGCATTCTAAAAATGCTCAATTTATAACACTGGGCACCTGATTGGATGTGCAGGCTGTAGCTGGTTGACTCTTGCCGTAGGCTACAATGCCCGGCCTTCCTAAAGCACCACTTTTACTCTTTCTAGAGCGGCCTTTCTTTGGAATATAAAAAGCACAAACCAAGAGGCTGTTGTTGCAGGCAGGCAGACCCTGTCTCCCTCCAGGGTGGCCTCAAGTGCTCCCGCTGCTCCCTGCCATGTCCACTTCTGGCTGCCCTGCCCACCCCTCTCATTCCTTCTTTGCTGCTGTAAGGAGGTGAGTTAAGAGCAAGCTCTTCCAAGCTGAAAGGACATCAGAATATTGATGAGAAATGAAAGCTTGTCAAAGAGGCAGTCTTCCCTCAAGTATCCTAAAGGAATCATAAGAGTGACGACCCCAGGCCAAGAACATCGGATGGTATTTGTAAAGTTCATCTTCTTGTTCCAGATTCCTAACTTTAAAGGTCTGCTTCTCCCATGTTGGTATTTCATTTAGAAAAGCAGTTTTCTGCACGCGCGCTCTGACCTTGAAGTAGCACATTACAAGCTGAAACCCAGAAGCCTCATGCTCCATTACGAATTCCTTCAGAGAGTCAAGCTACTGCCCCTGGAGTACAGTTACGGAGAGTACAGAGATCTCTTCCGTGATTTCGGGACCCACTACATCACAGAGGCCATGCTGGGGGGCATTTATGAATACACACTCATTATGAACAAAGAGGCCATGGAGAGAGCAGGTGTGTTGCCCAGGGGACTATGGTTTTCCTGCCGGGGCACATGTGAGCTCTGTGAGGTGGGGGGGAAGAGTTCTGGGCTTTGCTCCTAGTTTCCTTCTCCTTCTCTGGCTGTAGTGTCATTTGCAGATCTCTTCCTTCATAACCTGCTGGTGAGTCCCCCTCCACCCAGCCCTCTGTGTGGGTGCTCCTCTTTTCTACAACTGTTCTCCCTAGACGACGGCATCCTTTCTCATGGCTTTAAATGTCTTCAGTATGTGGAGACCTCCCAGTGTATGTTTCCACTTGGACCTCTTCCCAGCACCCAAGAGCTCACATCAGAATGTCCCCTTGACATCACCATTTGGATGCCCAGCAACCATCACAACCTTCCCATGTCCTGAAAGTCAACTTTTGCTTTCCTTTCCCAACTTTGTGTCCTTCCTGGTCATCCACATCTCAGAATGGTTTCACCGTCCAACAGTGGCTTAAGCCAAGAACCTAGGAGTCAACTTTGACTATATGTCTTTCCTTCTAGTTGATTGGCACGTCTCCTCAGTAAGTTTAAGACAAAACCCAAGATGCTGCACAAGCTCTGACATGTTGTCAATGCTTCTGATCCATAAACCACATTTTGAGTAGCAAGATCACAGATTGTTACCATAGCCGCCCAACTAATATCCAAGTCCCATTGCCCCTTGGCAATCTCTTCTCCCTATAGATTTAATTACAGGGCTTTCCACTCGTAACTGTCTACAGGCCTAAGGTGTGATTCCTGCTTCCCAGTCCAGGGTTCTGGCACTTGCCAGGTTAGGTGACCTGCCCTGGGTGACAGTTCACAGTAGAGGAGCCAGGGCTTGGTTATAAGGCCATTGCACTCGCAAGAGGACACATGGTTTGCAATGTATGTAAATTTATGCCGGTGTGGTTTCATTCTTGCTAAGGCCAAGGATAGCTTCCTTCATACCACTGGTTTCCAAAGCACTTTTCAGATTTCCTCAAACTGCTTCCTGCACAAGGATTCTGTTATCAAATAAATTGGGGAAACATATAATGGATCCCACTTTCAGCATTCCACGAGCCTACTGCCATAAAATGACCTCTCCGCCTCCTCTGATACAATATTGGTCACACTTACTTGGCCACAGATGCACATTTTCTTATAATACTTTTACAAAAAGTACAAGAGATATTATCATGGAATTCATATTTCAAGTAACATGCTTGGGAGGGAAAACTGATATATACTTAACACCACTGGAGAACTCAGTAGTCAGGATTGGTCTCCTCTCCTTGCCCAGCCTCAAAGTGCCACAGACGGTGCTGACAAGTCACACACGTGTTTTGAGCAAGCTCAGGAGGGGAGCATCCCTTGGGGAGACTTAGGGAGAAACAAGTGGAAAATGAGCCAAAATGAAGGGGAAATAAGACAAACTGACCCCCTCACTTAGCCAGATCCTAGACCAGACACTTTAAATGTAGCACCTCAGTTAATTAGTGGACTAACCCTCTCTACTCCAGCAAAGATTAAAGAAGAGTGGGTCGGGCCGCCTGGGTGGCTTAGTCGGTTAAGCGTCCGACTTTCACTTAGGTCATGATCTCGCGGTTCGTGGGTTCGAGCCCCGTGTCGGGCTCTGTGCTGACTGCCAGCTCAGAGCCTGGAGCCTGTTTCGGAGTCTGTGTCTCCCTCTCTCTCTGACCCTCCCCTGCTCATGCTGTCTCTCTCTCTCGCCTAGAAATAAATAAAAATATATTAAAAAAAAAAAAGAAGAGTGGGTCAGGGGAAGGTGGACACACTGCAGCAAACTGTACTCACTGGATCGACCCCTAGAGGCTTAGAAAACCACTCTGAGCACTTTCACTCTTAGGAGGGCAGCAAAGACCCTCAGAGCTTTTGAAAACCCTGAAAGGGGAAGGTTCTGTCACTCTTTCATAAGGCCTCCACCCTCATGTCATGTCATGGCTGCCTGCATTGCTTATCATCAGGCTGGCCATCCATTTATTTGAACCTGAGTCATGACGTGATATCCAGGAAGGGCAAAACCTCTGGAATCAATGAGAGCAAAAGGGACAGGGTGAATTATCTTTACGTCACGGGACTCTTTTCTTGCTTCCTTCAGACTACTCCCTTAATGATGTCCACACCTGTGCCAAGAATGATTTCAGAATCGGTGCTTCCATCAAGTATGTCTACGTCAAGCTGGGTGTGTCGATGGGCACATGCGAGGGTATTCTGAATGAAATAAAAGGTGAGTGGCAGGGGCATGTGAATTCTGTGCTCATTATCTTTCCCTTCTTGACATCCCCCAAACCGAATCTTTCTTCCAGCTAAAGACTGTATATTCTAACGCCTTTCAATTAAAGTAATAATTCATTCAGTAAAAACTTACCTAGCTCCTAGCTCCTACCATGTGCTGGGCGTACAACAGTGAATAAAATTGTATTCCCATCCTCATGGTGCCCACACGAAGCAGACAAACAATTAAAGAAGCAATGGCAAGCCAGCAATTAGCACCAAACCCAGTTTGGAGCATCAGGACCAGCTTCCTAAGGGAGGGAGTGTTGGAATTACCACTCAGGGAGTAAAGCAGCAAGGTTGTTTTTAAGGCAGGAAAACAATGACAATGGAAATTTGCTCTGGAGGCCAGGAGCTGTCCTGGCTGGAGGCAGATGAAGAAGGTGGGAGAGGAAGGTGAGGAGGCTGGTCCTTCCCTGACATAATGGATGGGATGGAAACTGGAGGAGCCAGTCTGCTACGTAAATCATGTGTAGCAGAGCCCACACGACAGGGGAGACCAGATCGGAGGTGGGTATCAAAGCCAAGTGTCTGGGAGCAGGGAACCTGGAGATTGTTCCAGAGAGCTGGGAATCAACACAGCAAGTAGAGTAGGAAAGAGAGACGGATCAGCAGGGCCCCAGGCCCCATGCTCTGCTGCACCCCAAAGAGCAATCCCCCAACGACTCCACTTTACTAAGCTTGCACCTGGGATCGTAGGTAGAGAAAGAGTTCCAACAGATGAAACAAAACAGAACAACAAAAGTTAAATGCTGGTCTAGAACCATCTCTCGCACTTTTGATTGATGTGTGGTTGATATTGTTTATTTGTTGATTTTGGTGGGGCTGGGTTGGAAGATAGGTCCTCCAAGGGAGACATGCACAGAACACAAGTGCTCTTTAAAGAAGACTCATAGGGGAGCGCCTGGGTGGCTCAGTCACTTAAGAGTCCAACTTCGGCTCAGGTCATAATCTCATGGTTCGTGGGTTCGAGGTCCATGTTGGGCTCTGTGCTGACAGCCAGCTCAGAGCCTGGAGCCTGTTTCGGATTCTGTGTCTCCCTCTCTCTCTGACCCTCCCCTGCTTATGCCGTCTCTCTCTCTCTCTGTCTCTCACGGTCTGTCTGTCTGTCTCTCTCTCTCTCAGAAATAAATAAATCATTAAAAAGGAAGGAAGGAAGGAAGGAAAGAAGGAAGAAAAACAAAGAAGACTCATAGGAAGCACCTTCGTGGCTCAGTTGGTTAATGTTTGACTCTTGATTTTGGCTCAGGTCATGATCTCATGGTTTGTGGGATTGAGCCCCACATTGGGCTCTGCACTGACAGCACAGAACCTACTTGGGATTCTCTCTCTCCCTCTCTCTGCCCCTTTCCATGTGCACATACTCTCACTCTCTCTCTCTCTCAAAAATAAATAAACTTAAAAAAATAAAGAAGATTTGTAAAGTAATCCCTTGTGCAGGTCACTAGATGGAATATTGCCTAGGACCCCAGAACCCTTGCCAACTCCTCTCTCCCTTTTGGAGATAACACCATCCTTGCTTCTGTGTTAAACCCATCCTTCTTTTCTTAATAGTTTTACCACCATATGTATCACTAACCAGTACAGCTCAGTATGGCTTGTTTTTGAACTTTATATGGATGGTATGTAATCTTTTCAGTTCTGGGTGGTGGTGTTTTTTCATTCAGTATCATGTTTTGTGTATAGCTAGTTTCCATTGCTGCATAGTATTTCATTGTACGAATATAACACTTTGTTCTTTCTACTGTTGAATTTGAGTTATTTCCTATTTCAAGCAAGTGCAGTCACTGCTGCTAAAACATTCTTACATGGTTGTCTGGTACTGATGTGCAAGTGTTTTGCAGGGAATGCACCAGGAGTAGAAATGTTGAGTCCGTAGACTGTGTACTTTTTCAGGACCAGTTAATGCAAAGTTGTTTTCTAAAATGGTTGTACCACTGTCCCCCTACCAGGAGTGTACAAGACTCCTATCTAAGGTCTTCTGGGTTGCAGGCTCAGAGCTAAGTGGTCACTTGACACCAGTTCCCTTGGCATTGGTGCATGGACAAGTTAGAATGCGAAGGACTCACTGATATGATTGAGGACTTTCTGGGAAACTGTGCAGGAAGTCAAAATAAAAATCATATTATAGTAGACACTCTTTAGTGGATATCTGTCACACAAAAAGCTCAGCTTTTACAGATTTTCCTACCTCTGTTATGCCATACAAAGAAGAGAGATAGCTTAGAGCTTCAGCAGGGCTACCTGGATAAACCGTTTCACCCCTAGTGCCTAAGATTTCTTATCTGCAAAATGAGGATTATATAGTACTTATTTCATTGTGAAAATTAAGTGAGTTAATACAACGCTTAGATTACTGGTTGACCAGTAATGATCAATAACCTATCTCCCTATCAACCTATGTATGTATCTATGACCTGTCAATATACCCATATATTGAATGTATCTATTTATCTGTCCATCAGCTATCTATCTTCCATAGACTCAGTGACTGGCATTTATAGATGTCCCCTCCTTGTCCTATATGATTGAGTGAATTGCCTTTTGCCCCTTATGCCATGACTTCCTTGCTGGTGGGATTGCATCTTGTCTACTGGCACCTCCAGGATGAGCTTAGTGAATATTATGGTAACTGTGTTGGGTTGCAGCAAATTCCAGGGTGCCGAAGTGGGTCCCCTGACATGTCAGGTCTCTGTGTCGATTCCAGACAGAAACAAGAGAAACACCATGGTGAATGACTTGGTGGTCCTTGTGCGAGGAGGGGCAAGTGAGCACATCACCGCCCTGGCATATAAGGAGCTGCCGACCGCGGACCTGATGCAGGAGTGGGGAGACGCTGTGCAGTACAACCCAGACATCATCAAAATTAAGGTATCGCTGGGGAACCCTTTCCTCTGTTCAGTAAACAGCCTATGAGGGGCTACTGGGAGCCAGGGTGGGGGATACAGAACTTAAGAAGACCCACACCCTAATCTCAAGGCACACACATTGTAGTAGATAATATATTTGGAGTGGACCAATTACAAAATAACTGTTGAGCACCAGCTGGAGACACCTGACTCCGTCCCATTCAGGTCCCCAAGTTGCTAAAGGAAATGAACTCTCAGCTTCTAATTCAAGCCTTCCTAAATTGACACCGTTTCCATCTATCTCATCAGAGAATCTCTCGTCGCATTATGTGTTTACTTTAACATTCATTCAGCCAACATTCAGTTGCTAAGTTCCTGCAGTGTGTCAGGAACTACGACACTGGAGGAGACACAGGAAGATGGAAGTATGAAACATAATCTGTGCTGAGCAATAAGACACATCCAGCCATGACCGTCGTACCAGACAGGATCATACTTCATGGTGCTCACTAACATTTTGAGCACCTACTATATTCTTGACACTCTGCCAGGGGCTTTAGGAGTGTTATTTCATCAAATCTTCAAATTGTGTGTGCTTATCTCCATTTCGTGGCTGATGAAAGTCAAGGTCACAGAGGGTTGCATCCACCTGTGGCTATACCAGAGTCTATGTTAGGTCTGGACCTGGGACTTTGACCTCTTCCCACCCCTCCAGACTTTCCTGTGGGTTTGGTAAATAAAAACTAATGATCCCAACCACCTGCCACCCACACAAGAGCAGTCTTGCAGCCTTAAGCTAAACAGACGTTTGCTAGAACAGGACTGTCATACATATCAGCAGTAGTAGGGCCTTGCCTGTGGGGACTTCTGCACAGTGCTGATGCTCCATCTCAGGCCATCTCTCCTTGCTGTTGTCTGTATAGTCACTGGTTGCCTTGCATCCACTCCACCCTACGTCCAAGACTTAGCCTTACAGCCAAGGAGGGGTGACTAGGGACCAGAGGTCCTGACATGATGCTCTGCAGGTCCCAACCCTGGAAGTTTCCCCATGTCATCTATTTCAATTCAAACACATAGTTTCTGCGGAACAGAAGGCTGTCATTCAAATCCTGTCCTCTGCTATGCATTCAGTAGTGACACTTAGGGTACAGCTGCTAACAAACATCGAGGAGAATAAAGTCAGCTGTAGGTTATAGGCAGCTCCAGAGAACTCTGGGGGTGGCTGATGGTGTGGTGACATTGCTTGGTATCACAGATGGGCATGGGAGTGAATAGAGCTCAGGGGAAAATAGATCCCTAGTCTTTACTTGTCACTTATATCTTACTTGAATCTTTTTTCCCCAAAACTGGGAATTAATGGAGTTTTCCTGGGTCATGTACCTGAATAGGTTGGATGTGCCAGACTGGGTATTGGGAATGTCAAGTGTCAAGCATGCGATGTGATCTGGTGTGTGTGTGTGTGTGTGTGTGTGTGTGTGTGTGTGTGTGTGTGTGAGTGAAAGAGAGAAATGGACAGAGCGGGGCGGGGGAGAGAGAGAGAAAGGAAGATTGGAAGACAGGTAGGGCAAGCTAGCATTCTAAGCATCTCAGTCAGGCCTGCAGACAATCTCAGGTATGCAGCACTTTACCAAAGGCACAGAGGCTTCTCAGCATGTGTGTGATGTAGTATAAAGTATCACACCCGCTATGAGCTGTGTGGGCTGAAAGGGGAAAAAGATGAAGAAATCAGAGATGTTTTCAGGAGTTGGGGAGGGAAGGTTACTGAAGGCTTTTAAGCCCTTCCTTTTGGAAGGGCTTCCTTTGACCCAAGTTGGAAATGTACGTTCTGGGCATCCCACTCTTCCATGCACTCTTTCTGGTGAGAGAAAACTGCAGACGGCTCCACATTACCTCCCAGTAATTCTTCTCTGCAGAGCCAGCCAGCTAGGTAGTTGGAGAGCTATTTTTTTTCCAGGATATCAGAAGCCATTAGACAAGCAATTCCTAGACAGAGTGTTGGCCAAGGATTGCATGCATAAACCATTCTTGAAGATCAAGACCTGAATCACGACTGGCATAGGAGCCAGGTGGACAGGGAAGAACACCGAAGAGCCCACTCGCACTGTTTACTGGTAGACGTTAGACCCAGAGAAACGGCTCTTTGCTCAGAGTTAAGAAATAGCAGTGGACATAGAAAGAGAACTCCAAACACAAAAGATTGAAATTACATTCAAGATCCAGAAGACAAGCCTACCTCTAAAAGTGGAAAAATAGAAGTAACTTTTGGAAGGCATTTGCTTTTTTTATTATAAGATTTAAGCAAATGAGGCATTCAGGAAGGAAAAAATAGATGCTGAGATATTAGACACTCATCAGATAAAAAAGGAAGTGGCTGCCTATATGAAACCAAAGGCGCAATAGCAGATGAAAGCCTACATTGGAAACTGTAAAGAACAGAATTGACACTGCAGAAAATTGAGTCAGTGATGTGGAAGGCGCCATAAAAATATTCATATAATGTAGAAGCAAAAGACAAAGAGATTAAAACAACGACGTGGAAGAAATATGATGGAAGAGAGTACAGAAGGAGAAATCTAAAACTCAAGGACGGCTTCCTGAGAAAGATGATTAAATTTGAAGAAGCATTCATCATGGACGTAATAAGGGAAAGTCCCTGGGCTGATAATGCAAAATGCAGAACTCATTGAAAAGTAGGCAGAGGTACTGAAAACAAAACAATACTGAAACACATCCTATGATGTGATTTTTTTTTTAACTTTTAGAAACAAACCTATTCCAAAAAAAAAAAGTTGTGCTGGTCATAGAATTCTTTGCAACACTAAATCCCTGAAGACAGTGGAGTCATAACGACAATGTCATGAAGGAAAAACTCGGGGCCCAGTGAAATGGTCATTAATGTATAAAAAAATCCCAAAGACACTTTGCATTATTAAAGGAGTCACACAAAAATTGCCAGACTTGGCAGATGGAAATGCAATGTGTCCAGTTAAATTTGAATTTCAGACAAATAATGGATAATTTCTTAGTATAAGCATACCCCAAAGAGTTCATGGGACATATCTGTATGTCCAAATTATTTGTTGTTTGTCTGAAATTCAACTTAAGTTGGACATATTGTGTACTTGACTGGCAACCCTAGTCACAAACCCAGCCACTCATGAGCATTTCTATAAGTAGCCAGGGTGGCTAGGTTGTCGTCTGAGGTCCGAACAGATGGAGAAGCTACTGTATAGAGCTCAGGCATTGCCCAGGGTAGAAGGAAAAGATATAGTTGTGAATGGTGTTCACATAGAGATCAGGAAGGCATTGGTTGTGATGCAGTGAAAAAAAACCCTCCCAAATCTTAGTGACTTCATACAACACAGGTTTATTTCTCAATCACACACATGTCCAAAGTATACTGGGGTAGGGGCTTTTCACAGTGCCGCTCGGGGATCCAGGCCACAGAGGCTTTACGTGGTCATATGCTCCGAGGGTCACCTCTGCGTTGATAAGGGAAGAGGATATGTCCCCTCACTCTGCACTGAAGGCTTCATCCTGGAAAGGACGTTCTCTTTGTTCACTGTCCACTGCTCAAAACAAGTCAAGGTGCAAACCCGCCCTTTAGGATGTCAGGAAATTGCAGCCCTGCTATGTATCCAGAAAGAAAAGCAGCTGATCAGTCGGTAAGCAGTGGTAATCACACCTTTCTAAAGGTGTGACCACCATACCTTTCTAAATCACTGTATTCAAAGATTCTCTGAAGGCAAATTGCTCTGACCAAGAGAAGGGTTAAAATATAGATGTTATGGTAACATTGCCTGGTAAGATAACATCAGACTCAGGCTGTTGGATCTCACCCCTCCCCCGAAATAAATTCTGAATGTCAAATAAGGAAACCATGAGTATAATTAAATGACAGGTAACACACCCATGAAATAATTTTGCCATAGACAAAACCCTAAATGTGTAAGGAATGGTACAATGTCTAAGAAAGACTACATCTCAAATAAAATAGACAACTCCTGGCACTAAGATGATGAATAAACATGCAAAATGCTTAACTTTTCTAGGAATACAAAATGAAAAAGTAACAACATATTTTTTTTACCTATCAAATTGACAATGATTAAAATCTGTAATATTCAGGGGCGCCCTGGTGGCTTAGGAGGTTAAGCATCCGACTTCAGCTCAGGTCATGATCTCATGGTTGATGAATTTGAGCCCCATATTGGGCTCTATGCTGACAGCTTGGAGCCTAGAGCCTGCTTTGGATTCTGTGTTTCCCTCTCTTTACACACACCCCCCATGCTCTGTCTGTCTGTCTCTCAAAAATAAATAAACATTAAAATTTTTTTTTAAAAATCTGCAGTATTCAACAGGCTGCCTGGGTAGCTCAGTCAGTTAGGCATCCAACCCAGGTCATGATCCCAGGGCATGGGATCAAGCCACATGTAGGGCTCTGTCCTGAGCATGGAGCCTGCTTCAGTTTCTCTCTCTCTCTTACTCTCTCTCTGTCAAAAAAATATATATAATACTCGATGTCATTGAGAGCAATGAGGCAGGTACTTTCATAAAAAGAGATGAGAATATAAGTTGATCCAATACTTTATGTAACCGTCTATACCCATAAAAAAATTTGTATCAAAGAATATTGAACAGCATGGGAAAATGCTCATAATATGATATTAAGTGAGGCAGGTGGAAAATAAAAGTGCACTTTTCTCATGCCACTAATTTGGTATAAATACCTGTCCATTTAACTATCCAAAAATATACACTGAAAGGACACAAACCATAATGCTAACAATTTGAATCCTTTTCTTCCACTTACCGTGTGACTCCTCCATATTTTTAACTTTTCATCTATCTGTAAACTGAGGATACAGAAGACTATCTGCCTCAATAGGATTGTTGTGAAGATTGTTAGAAAATGCATGCATTTAGTTTAGCACCAGATTACTGCTACCAATGCAGTAATTATGCGTTATCACTAAGAATGGTGATCACCAGGGGCACCTGGGTGGCTCAGTCGGTTAAGCGTCTGACTTCAGCTCAGATCATGATCTCATGGTTCATGGGTTCGAGCCCCGTGTCGGGCTCTGTGCTGACAGCTAGTTCAGAGCCTGGAGCCTGCTTTAGATTCTGTGTCTCCCTCCCTCTCTGACCCTCCCCTGCTCACGCTGCCTCTCTCTCTCTCTCTCTCAGAAATAAATAAAACATTAAAAAAAAAAAAGGAATGGTGATCACCAGCATCCATCACAAGGAAGGATATGGAATTTAATAAATAGTGAGGACCATCTCTTTGCGGCAATATGACAAATAAAATTTTCACAAGGGCAAGTGTGTATAGGACCCAGTGGTCCATAGGAGCAGTTAGGACTGTGTATTTGGGGGAGAAAGAAGGAAGAGAGATGGGGGCAGGGGGGAAAGGATAAAGAGGAGAAAAGAGAGAGAAAGAAAGACAGTAGCGGAAAGGGCCAGGGAATGAAAGAAGGGACAATCAAAGAAGAGACAATAATGCCATACTAACTTAGAATTAAAAGGGAGCTCTTGAATTTAACTAGAATTAAAAGCTCGTAGGGGTTGCTGCTCAGTTCCAAGGCAAATCACAGTCTGCAAAATTTGTAGAACGCCAGTATAGAAACTGGAAAATGGGAATAATCAAGCCATTTTTATGAATAATTATCCTGAGCCAGTAAGAAACACAAAAGCTTTGGGTTAGAATCCTGGAAATCCTGTTTAATGAGTTCTTTGACTTGGTTCAAGTCACTTACCCTCATCTGAAAACGGGGCCTATAATGGCTGCCTTGGAAGGATGGAGTGGGCTCGCGTCTGTAAGCCACCAGCACGCTTCTGACACACAGTCCAAAGGAGGAAGAGGCTTATTCCGGTTCTGCCGCTGACTGGCTCTCTCTCCGGGAGCAACTCTCCGCGCTGGTGGGAGAATGCCTGGGGGGCTAAAGGCAGCCTTGCAAGGTGCTCTGACAGGGAATACAGACTGTTGGAGGAGCTCATACTGGTGTATGGCAAATCCCCGTTTCCCTCCCCTCCCTCCCCCACATGAGGACAGCAGGCTGGCCGGTTCTGCAAACCGCCTCTGGATCAATTCATTGACCACAAAACGGTGAGACAATGGGACCACCCAGGGGCCTTCCTTTGCCCACTGGAGCGAAGGTCAGCATCAGACGCATTAAGAAATGGAAGCAATTTTCTTCCCACTGGAGGCTTCTATTAGGCATGATTGCCTGCATTTAGACAGACCCTAAACTCTCCAGAGCTGGATTAGGGCAGGAACATAGACAAAATCTGGAGAGGAACCTGGCCCTGGAGCTGAAACTAGGGCCCGCATGCTCCAAACATTTTTTTTTTTTAATATTTTATTTATTTCTAGGAGAGAGAGAGAGACAGCATGAGCAGGGAAAGGTCAGAGAGAGAGGGAGTCACAGACTCTGAAACAGGCTCCAGGCTCTGAGCTGGCAGTCAGCACAGAGCCCGACGCGGGGCTCGAACCCACAAACCGCGAGATCATGACCTAAGCGAAAGTCGGGCGCTTAACCGACTAAGCCACCCAGGAGCCCCAACATTTTTAACTACCTCCTTGCACTTTGCCTCAGACTCTTCCTAGCCCGCAAACACCACCACACACATCTGTGGCTTCCTCTGGTCGAACACTGCCAGGTTCACTGGTGACCAAGGGTCACTCTTTCTGCAGCGAGGTTTCTGCTGTCCACCCCTCTCCTCCCAGCCAGGTGCCTTTGCCCTGATGAAGTCTCCCACCCCCTTTCATTGTCCATCCACTTTTTTTTTTTTTAAATGTTTTATTTATTTCTAGGAGAGAGAGACAGCGTGAGCAGGGGAGGGTCAGAGAGGGAGGGAGTCACAGACTGAAACAGGCTCCAGGCTCTGAGCTGGCAGTCAGCACAGAGCCCGATGCGGGGCTCGAACCCACGAACCGCGAGATCATGACCTAAGCGAAAGTCGGACGCTTAACTGACTAAGCCACCCAGGCGCCCCATTGTCCATCCACTTTTATCAGCTGTTCTCACTAAGCTTGAGGCTAGACCCTAGACTCTAGACCCCAGAGCTGAGCAGTATATAGCCCCGATCTCCTGCAGCTTCCCTTCTTAATTCAAGAAGGAAAAGAGATTTCAACACATCAAAAAATTAATGACCACAAAGGAGCAAAGAGATAGAATTTGTGTTGGCTGAACACTGGACAGTATTCTGAGCACTTCATGGTGGGAAGGTATTCTGTGAACTTTGGAACTGGGGAAAGGCTTCATGATTGTGGTTCTTGCATCATGTGAATGATTTTGCCAAGTCTGGAGGGAGAGCCATGTTGAGATGAAGCTTCTACAATAGTTTCAAGGAGCTGCTTGAAAGTCACCTCCTCTCCCCAACCTAAGGCCAATTAACCACCTGCTCCTATGCCCGCATTCCAAGTTTCCACTGTTGCCGGACCTGGCGTACTGTAAGAATCTGTTACTATGTCTCTGTCTCTAGATTCCGAGTTTTTTGAGGGTGTGGATTTTATCTTACTCATTACTCATGCTTCCTGCCTGGTACTTAGGAGAAATTCAGTAAGAGTTGACCTGATTTCAGATGAGTTTGTTTGTGGATATTGGATAGGATGGTTCAGACAGAGGACAGGGCTTCCACGTACATGTTCGGGCAGCCATCCAGTTGCAAATGAATCCATTTGTCTCAATGCACCAACCCTTTGCCCATTCCTGTGGAACCTTGCTTTACCCTTCTATCCTTCTATTTGATGAATATTTTCTGTCGAAATACATCTTTCTTCTCCCCAGGCAGAACCTCTGTATGAACTGGTGACGGCCACAGACTTTGCCTACTCCAGCACAGTAAGGCAAAATATGAAGCGGGCCCTGGAGGAGTTCCAGAAGGAAGTCAGCTCTTGCCACTGTGCTCCTTGCCAAGGCAATGGAGTTCCTGTCCTGAAAGGTACCATTTCCAGGCAGCTGGTGTCCCTGTGGAAGACATATTTGGAGGGGCTGGTGCTGCAGCCAGAACACATCATCAAATCCATATGCCCTCCAGAGTATCTCAAGAAGAGTTCTAGATCAATCCCTAGTCCTCTACCTGAGGCCCCAGGGACTGTCATAAAATTCTCTTTGTTATCTCAGGGGGACAAAAAGAGCCCCCTGGTCATTGGCAGCCTCTTAAACTGAGCTTCTCCATCTTGATCAGGTATTAGAACCACCTGAGACCCAGAGCTACTGACGCTCAGGCCCCCACCTGAATCACTGTATGAGAATCTGGAGAAAGCCCCTCATCAGGAAGGGTAAACTTCCAGGCAGTTCTAATCTGCAGCCAGGCTGTGACTCACAACTGCTGAAGTCCCCATCTCCCTGAAGCACAATGAGGTGGGATTAGACCGAGGAGCCCCTTATACTCAGGTGCATCTCCTGGGCATAGAGCATGATGTTCCTCTAAAGCAGATCTCAGTCCAAGATGCATAAGATAATCACCCAAGGTGCTTTCCACAAACACGGAGCCCTGGGCCTCAACCCAGAGTAGTTCAAGTGAATCACTGGGGATTGGCCTTTGAAAAAGCCTACCAGATGATTACACTGTGGCATCAGGGCTGAGAAGCTAATCAGCTGCATCCACTGGCAGACAGGATCCATCATTCCACTAGCTCACAAATCCGTGGGGAAGGTAGACTTGACCAGAGAGTTACATTGAAGTGTACTGAGCATTAGGACTAGTGTTAGTCCATTTCGCAAGAAGTCAGAGTGTAGGCAACTAGGCCATGCTGCTCTGGCTACCAGAATGCCTAGGTTCCAGCCACAACGGACATAGTAAGTGGCAGCACCGTACAACTGAAGGGGTGAGCCTAGACTGTGCGTTTTGCAGCACAAGGTGAGGGTGGACTTGGGGAATCTCTCTGGGCCAAATAAGAGATGCTAGGCTGTGCAAATCCTGACCAATGCATGGTGAGAAGATTGGCGGAAGGGGGGAGCAGCAGCAAGGATGGGCCACTTGAACTTGATTCCTAATTTTAAGGGCCATATCTGGAGCCACTGCAATCAGCAGGGCAAATTTGGGGCTGGCTGAGGCCTGGGATCTTGTGTTCCTGTCATGGTGGCCAAGGAAGAGTCAAGTCTAGCTTGAAGCCAAAACAAGGAATCAGGTTCAGTTTGGTCCAGCAGATCCACACACAGGGAGGGAGCCAGCTGGCATTAGGGCAGAACCTACTTAGATAGAGCCAGCTCAACAGAGGGGACACAGGAGAAGACCTATTCCCAACTGAGACTGAGGAGTATGTGTCTAACTTCTTGCACAGGGTGGATGGGAGTAAAGGAGACATAAGTCATAAGACAAAAGCCTAAGGCTGGAAAGTTCTGCCATAAGGACAGACACACTGAAGTGGGGATAAGGTCAGCAAGAAGTGTGATTTGCCCATCAGCTCAACATGTTGATCTAGAGTTGCTGAAATCTCCTTGCCTTTATATGCAATTTGGACCTAGAAACTGGGACCCACCTGAGGATGTGCGCTGGTGTGGGGGGGAATACGAAGCCAGGGACGCGGGTGTTCATGGGCCTGACTTATAAAGGATAATCCTATGAAGGGATTCTATGTGATCCAGATGATGACATGTTACAGATCAACATAAAGAATAACTTCCAAAGGGCCAGAATTGGCCAAAGGAGGATGACACATCCAAGGACAGTGAGTTCTCCATCACTGGGAGTGTTCAAGCAAAGGCAATTAAATGACTCGCGGTGAAATTGAGCATCAGTGACCATTGGCTTCCGTGACCACCACAAATGTAGCTTCTAACACTGGACACTTATAAGGCTGGGTCAAATGTCAGCTCATGAGTTGTTTCCCTCAGCAACTCCATATGGTTTCCCACGATGGCAATAAATATCCTTCAGGAGCAAAAGACCCTCAAGGCAGGAGTAGGTAGTCTTGGCACTGAGCCTTCTTATCTTACACCCTTCAATTAAATGCTTCCCCTATTTTAATCTCATGCAAAGTGGTGATGTGGAGGGCTGAACTCCAGTTCTGTTTCACACGGTATGATCCACACTCTGCCTGCATTGTCTTTTCAGAATCCCGCTGTGACTGCATCTGTCCTGTTGGATTCCAGGGCCCAGCCTGCGAGGTCACCTATAGGAAAAGTAAGGAGTCTTGGAGAGTCGGTAGGAAAAGGAAAATCGAGGGAGTTCCAGAGAATAATTCAAAAGGGCCGGAGCATTGGGGATGTTGGGTTGGGAGCCGGAAACTATGAGATTTGAGATCTATTCTGGCTCCTGATTTTATATTTCATTATTTATACACCCAAGAGTGATTCATGTGACAGAACGATTAATGCCTGGCCTTTGCAAGTAATTTTTTGAATCATTCTGGAATGCTTACCTTCTTTTTTTAACTGAACTTTTATTCAGCCCTCAAAATCCAGCACAGATGCCCTTTCTTCTGTAGAAGTTCTAAGCCTCCACCCCCGACTAAATTTAGTGAATTCCTCCTATGTGCTCCTATAGCACTTTGAATATATACCTAATATAGCTCTTAGCACATTATATTTTGGGTTATAAGTGTCTGTCTCCCCAGTGTGTGTGAGCAGAGATCATGTTCCATTTGTCTCTGAGTCCCTATGGCCCAGCCTCATTTCCTCTCAGTGCTATGGCCTGAATTAACAAAGCAAAGACTAGACTATCATTAAGATCCCTTCCAGCTCTCAAATTCTTTGCCCAGTTTATTACCTAAGAATTCTGAACGTGCCCCCACCCCTGACTCCTCCTTCCCTTTCTTTTCCTTTCTGTGGCTTTTTCGCAGTATCTTTAAAAAAGGAAATGGCATGGGGCTCTTGGGTGGCTCAGTTGGTTAAGTGTCCGACTTTGGCTCAGGTCATGATCTCATGGTTTGTGGGTTCAAGCCCCATGTTGGGCTCTATACTGACAGTTCAGAACCTAGAGCCTGCTTCAGATTCTGTGTCTCCCTCTCTCTTCTCTCTCTCTCTCTCTCTCTCTCTCTCACCCCTCCCCTGCTCACACTCTGTGTCTCTCTCTCTCAAAAAAAAAGAAAAGAAAAAAAAACATGAAAACTTAAAAAAAAAAAAAACAAAGGGAATAGCATATCGTCATATCCAGGGACGCCTGGGTAGCTCAGTCAGTTAAGCAACCGACTTCGGCTCAGGTCATGATCTCATACTTTGTAAATTCAAGCCCCATGTCAGACTCTGTGCTGACAGCTCAGAACCTGGAGCCTGCTTCAGATTCTGTGTGTGTCTCTCTCTCCCTGCCCCTCTCCCTCCCCTCAAAAGTTTAAAACTAAACAAAAAAACAAAGAGGCACTGTACTACATATCAGGCACCTTGCTAAGTGCTTGGACTCAGCTTGTGCTTGAATTTCATCTATCATTCAGTAACTGTGACCTTGAGCACTTTACATGACCTCTTTATGCCTCAGCCTCCTCATCTGTAGAATAGAGCTGATGGTATTAACTACCTCATAGAGCTGTCTTGAATTTCTCATGAAAACTAGAAGCACTTATAATGATGGCTAATACATATAAGAGCAAAATAAATGTTGGTTAGTTTGTTTTAGAGCAAAATAAAGTGTTCCTTCGTATTTTACATATATTAAATCTGTTTATCCTCACAACAACATCACAAAGTAGGTACTATCAATGTCCCCCATTTTATTGATGAAGAAACTAAGGTTCAGTGAGTCAATAACTTGCCCAGAGGTCACACAGTGAGTGTAGGAACCTGGGTTCATGTTCACTGAATCTGCTACAGCCTTTGCTCTTGACTCCTGCTTGCACTCTCCATTCTCCTCCCCAGTGAAATGCTCACCTCCCACCACCAGCACGGGCCCCACATGGTGCTGTGCCCAGTGAGTATGTAATCGCACAACCACAGGATATCTCCTGGTTGGAGGAGACATTGGACACCTCCTACTGTAGCCTTCTCATTTTACGAGTAGGGCAGGCCCAGAGATACCAAGTGATGTATACAGAATTATACTGCCCATCAGAGGTTCAGCCAGACACCTGATGTATCATGGTGGATGGAACTGGTTACTTGTCAGTCTCATCAACAACCAAAAAATCCTCAAGGGAAAGGCAACTGTCAGTGAGGGAAGAGTGCAGTACTTGTTATTATTTCATATAACACACAGTGCTTACAGTCGATAACAGAGCCCCTATGCTACCCAGCATCCTACACCTGGGAGGTGACCGAGCTGGGAAGCACTCGTGCATTCATCCAACAAATGTTTATTAAAGAACCCCTGGGGGCCAGCTTAGGTGCTAGGGTTCAGTGGCGAGCAAATCATATATAGACCCTGTCATCATGGAGATCACTGTTTAGAGAGGAAGACTGACATCATTTGAATTGTCCCAGAAATACATTTAAGGCTGTAGTTGCCACTGCTATAAAATGCTCCAGGAGCTCAAAATATGATGAATTGGTGGGGAGTTAGAGGTCAGGGAAGGTTTCCCTGCAGAGATAATACTTCAGCTGAGATATGATGGGTGAATAGGATTAACCAGATGAATAGAGGAGGGAAGAGTATACTGGGCTAGGGAAACAGCATCTGCAAAAGCCCTGTGGTAGAAGGAAACATGGCGACTACCATGGTTTGCAAGAAGGACAGCTGACTGGAGGGAGGAGATCTGAGTAGACTCACCAAGCCTTTTGGGCTTATATGCCGCCCCTACCCCCATGGGGCCCTAGGGTGTAACGAGGGTTCATTAATGTTTGATGACCTTCTTCTTTACAGATGTCCCCATTGATGGGAAATGGAATTGCTGGTCAGACTGGTCTCCGTGTTCCGGAGGACAAAAAACAAGACAAAGGCAGTGTAACAACCCGTCTCCCCAAAGTGGAGGCAGCCCCTGCTTGGGCCCTGCTTCAGAAACACTTAACTGTTAAGGAAGGACGAACTTCTAGCACCTAGGACTGTGGGCTACACACAGCAAGAGCTCTGAACCCTTAGGAGCTCAAGCTAGGTTACCTTGTACCGGCTCCCAGCTGGGGCCAGCCCAAGGGCAGAGGCCTGTGTCATTCAGAGTGTTTGAAATAAAGATGTTATTTGCAAAATGCATGTTGATTTGAACAAATAGTGAGTTAAACATAATCTACAGGTTCCTTAAGGGCTCTTTGCTCATCTGTATAGTTTGATTCCATTCGCATGTACTACCAGCCAGGAACTGTGTTAGCAGTTGTTCACACTGAAGTCCCCCTATGTGCCAGGCACATGTTAGGTGCCCAATGATGAATCAGTGATTGGATATTAAGTTGTTCCTCCCTTGAGAACTACATGGTCTCGCTCAGTGCCAATGGTAGTGTATATGTATTGAATGACTACTGTGCCAGCCACGATGCTCAGTGTGTTAATTCATTCCATCCTCATGACAGCCCTACAAGGTGGATGCCATGTTAGCCATGTTCAGCAGCTGCAGGAACTGGAGCTTAGAACACTTAAGTGGCTTGTCCAGGGTTTGCACAGTTAGGAAATGGCAGAGCTGGGCTGCAAACCTGGGCACTTTGGGCCCCAGAGGTTCGACTCTTAACTGTGGTGCTCCATAAATGGGCATTTCTTGACAATGAATTTTTTTCTGAAAAAAAAAATGTAGAAGAAAGTGGGATGTGTGTGTGCAAACGTGTGTGCCTGTGTTGTTGACAATCTCCACCCACTGCATCCTGAGGAGAGTGGATCCTGGTTCCTCAGCTCCCTTTGATGCTGATCAAAGGACAGGCAAGGTCCTGCATGTCAGAAGCAGAGTTCTGGGGCAGAGCTGAATTGCAGTGATATGAGTGGGTGCCTCGAGAAGTCCCTGAGCTGGAGAAAAGAGCAAGGGAAACTGATAACTGAGTGAGAGACAGACAGAAGGAATGCAGGAAGGAAGGAGGGAAGAGGGAGGGAGGGAGGGAGGGAGGGAAGGAAGGAAGGAGATGTTTTAGTGGCTGGAAGAGGGAACATGGAAACATATCAAGGAGAAGTTCAAGTTGATGGCTCTGCGGCAGTGTGCAATGTGCACCTTCCCCTACCTCTGTATGTTTCATTTTGCTCACTCATGCTTTTGTGCACTTTCCATCTGGAGCGTGGCGGGGACGGGGAGGGGGGTTGCTTGAGGAGAGACAATAAGGGAAGTCAGTTGATCATTAGATTTCTAAAAACCAAAATATTTTTATTTTTTATATGGAGTCAAGCTATCATTTAGGCTCTCTTGCTCTCATTCATTGCATCCCATTAAAACATCTCTTCGTATTTTGTTTGCTCTTGGATGCTCCCTGTCTGTTGCCAAACTTCCTGCGAATTCCTTGAGATCACGTTGATGGGAGGCTGGGGAATGGTTCAGAGTGAATTGGCTCATCCTATTCATTTTCAACCACTTTGTTTCCAGCCACATTATCTGCTTAGAGTTTGCCTCTGGGCTAGGCGTTGGGGGCTAAGACCTGCACACATCCATGACTCCAAAGCATGAGTCAGCACCACCCACCAATCTGGCCTGAGCAGCTACCTGGAATTGCTTTGACAGAACAAACAGGAAGGAGCTGATCCTTGACTGCAAGGGGGTTGTCTAGCAAGCGTGGTGATCTGTGATCTGGCCTGCCCTTTCGCATCCCTGTGTCCCTGCAATTGAGCTGACGGCTCTGCGCCCTTGTTTGGCTTCATGTTATTGCTTTGCCGTCTGCTGTTATTTCAACAGGCTAATCCAATAATGTTTTATCTCTTTCATTATACTGAAGCTGTATAATTTTCTTGAGTTATAATCTATCTTCTTTTAAGATTCCCCAGAGACGGGAAAGAGTGGTTCTGTCTTTGGTTGATGGGAAGCTCCCAGGAAGCCCGTGCTAGCACGTGGAAGCCAGCGCCGCCAAATTAAATTCTGAATCTCAATCACAGCCACCGCTTCTAATGGGAAATTTAAGTTGATTGTGGAGATGACAGCCCAGGTTCACGTTTATTGCATTTAGCAGAAATTGTTTATCCTATTAAATATGGTCTTGAAGGAGAAACAATTGAATTTTGGAGCACCGGTGAATACCCGGGTGACGCCCAGGTACCGCTTAACTGTGTAATAATTATATTCTTACTCGTGGGCTGAACTTTCCCTCGTGACTCTTCTTGCAAACAAATGCATTTAGGAGGAAGCTGAAATATAATGTAAGAATTAAACAAAAAAAATGCAAACTGTGCTTTTGGCAAAACTTGGCTACTGCGGCCAACACAGGCGTATCTGTGAAGGAGCTGCGGTATTCGTGGGGCTCAGTCCAGGCAGTGTAGATTGGCCGTGGTCCTGGAGGCTGGAACACAGCACAGGATACCTGGGTGTGGGAGAGTTTTGCATCCAAGAGTATGAATGTCTGAAATGCTGCGAGCTCCCTAGAGTGCTTGATGTCGGGGCGGGGGCGGGGAGGGTGGCTCTCCGGCTCCGCTTCCTCTCTGTGTGACCTTGGGCTAATAACATAACTTCTGTGGGGATAATAATGATTATAATTATTTTAACAATAGTGATAATAATAATAGCTGCCAATTATAGAGTGCTGCTCAGTTTATGAAGTCTTTTAACCTACATTATCTCAGCTAATCTTTATCTGAATTTGATGGGGTAGATATTAATATAATCATCAGGTGACAGGTAGGGAAAGCTTCAAAGGGAATCAGGATCCTTACCACAAATGGGCTGCCTGCAGAAATCAAGGTGGGTGGCTGAGGCTGGGAGAAAGCATCTCCTGGCATAGAATCCAGAGAAAAATGCCATCTTTGTTTTAAAGAAGAGAACTTTGGACTGTTCCCAGGCACTTATTTGAAAAGCTCTCCGGAAAGAGTGAGCCTGCAGGAGAAAGCCCTTGGGACACCAGCCAGGATCCCCTGGGGACCTTCTGATTAGCATCTTGATGGGGAAAGATTTTGTTTTATGGATTAAAGATGTCCTTAATGACACTATGTCTTCCTTGCCAGCATCTCTAGGCTTTGAGGACATTGTGTTATAATTTACTCTTTTACCATCTCCTATTCCTTCTCAAATGCAATGTTCACGAAGCAGGGATGCTGTCTTCTGCTCTTTTATATCTCAAGAACCCAGTTCAGGGCCTGACACAGCAGACAACAATAAATAATTGGGGTTTTTGTTGTTGTTGTTTGTTGTTTTTTAATGTACCTTCATTGGTTTATTTTTTATATATATAATTTATTGTCAAATTGGTTTCCATATAACTCCCAGTGCTCATCCCAACAAGTGCCCTCCTCCATGCCCATCACCCACTTTCCCCTCTCCCCCACCCCCATCCACCCTCAGATTACTCTCAGTATTTAAGAGTCTCTTATGGTTTGCCTCCCTCCCTCTCCTTAACTATATTTTCCCTCTTCCCCTCCCCCATGGTCCTCTGTTAAGTTTCTCCTGTTCCACATATGAGTGAAAATATGGTATCTGTCCTTCTCTGCCTGACTTATTTCACTTAGCATAACACCCTTGAGTTCCATCCACGCTACTGCAAATGGCCAGATTTCATTATTTCTCATTGCCATGTAGCATTCCATTGTATAGATAAACCACATCTTCTTGATCCATTCATCCGTTGATGGACACTTAGGCTCTTTCCATGTTTTAGCTATTGTGGAGAGTGCTGCTGTGAACATTGGGGTACATGTGCTCCTATGCCTCAGCATTTCTGTATCCCTTGGGTAAATTCCTAGCAGTGCTATTGCTGGGTCATAGGGGAGTTCTGTTGTTAATTTTTTGAGGAACCTCCACACTGTTTTCCAGAGGGGCTGCACCAGATGGCATTCCCACCAACAGTGTAGGAGGGTGCCCGTTTCTGCACATCCTCACCAGCATCTAGAGTCTCCTGATTTGTTCATTTTAGCCACTCTGACCAGCGTGAGGTGTTATCTCAGTGTGGTTTTAATTTGTATTTCCCTGATGATGAGTGACGCTGAGCAATGTTTCATCTGTCTGTTGGCCATCTGTGTGTCCTCTAACAATAAATAATTGTTGCATGAATTAATTAACGAAAAGGAATGTGAGTGGGCCAACAGCAGAACCTTCCCGGGCCGGTGAGAAACTTTCATGAATTAGTGGCACATGATGGTAGCTACATGAAATTTGGCGTACAGCATCCCTGGGATAAGGGGCAACCCACATGGGGGTGGCTGGGGAGGCACCTTCAGCCAGTTTTGTGGGCAGCATTGCAGAAAATACTGAAATAAAAGAAGCAGAGAAGTAGCCAATGTCAAATGGAGGCTGATGGGGCTTGGGTAGGGTTATTGGTGACACCCGCTAGTGACCACCAGAGACCTCCAGGAAAACTTTACAGCGGAAGGGAGCAGGAAAGTCTGTAGCCATTGGTGGGGTAATCCTGAGAAGTACATTTCCAGGTGGCTGTCCAAGCCAAGGCTCCAGAGGGTTTAAGGCCTGCCCCATATGTGGCAGAGGGAAGAAATGAACAAAGAGCAACTCAAAAAAAAAAAATTATTTTCTAGCATTCTGCCTCCACCTCATTTTTTTCATCTGTGGATTCATTTGAAACCGACAATGCCCACCTAAAACCAGCAACACATTGGGGGTGCCTGGGTGGCTCAGTCGGTTAAGCGTCCCACTCTTCATCTTGGCTCAGGTCATGATCTCACGATTCGTGGGACTGAGTCCCACGTCAGGCTCTGCACTGACTCTGCAGAGTCTGCTTGGGATTCTCTCTCTCCCTCTCTCTGCCCCTCCCAACTCTCTCTGTCTCTCTTTCTCTCTCTCTGAAAAATAAATTAAAAAAAAAAAAAAAAACTAGCAACACTTTGGCCTAGTACACCATGTCATTGAGATTCCCTGTTCAGTGAAAGCCATCATGAAATCAGATTTTTCTGTATGGTGTTTTCCTCTTTGAGTTATCCTTCCATACTGAGGTATTCAGAAATTCAGGATTTCCTGAGATACCCAGGGACAGTCTCAACCTCATAGGCAGAGATGGAAACACAGATGAAGAGAAGTCAAGTAGCATAGTTCTTAGAAGTGTGCTCTCTGGAGCCACACTGCCTGTGTGTGACATTGTCTGGCTCTGTGGCTTATTAGCTATGTGGCTTTATGCAAGCCGTGTACCCATCTG